AGCCTCATTTTGATACACAGGCACATTCTAGGCTTTACTTCCTGATCCTATAGACAGAGTTTGCTGCTGGACGGCTGGATGTCTCATCTGGATCTTAATACACCAAACGATGAGTCTTTTTAACTATTTATCTTGTAAGGGCAATTTATCTATTGCTCACTAATAAATTGTCAATACTGCACTTAGAGGCACCTTCCTCTCTTTTTCATGTTTACTGCATTAGAGCCTTGTTTCCACTCTAATGCAGGCCATAGACGGGGAGAAAACCGGACGTTTTTTTTTTTTAGAAAAATGAAAAATCGGTCATTCAGTCGGCCGACGTTACCACCATTGGTAAAAAAAAGTCGGCTGATTTTCGTCCCGTCGACGGCCGGCAAATATAATAGCGGTGTCCCTGCAGAGAGCTCCGCTATAATATTTGACAGAAGAAAACAGAATTTAAATAAGAAAATGAAGAAATCGAATATGAATAAGAAGAAAAAGTTGCAACATTGTATCCATTTCGGATACAGATGTTTCTATTTGGATACAAATAGATACAATGTTGCTATACTTTTAAATGTCAAATATATTATCGGACTGAAATTCTTTTTTTTTCTTCTTCTTATTCATATGCAGGACTTTAATTATTACAGGTACTTTTATAGCACCATCAATTTACACAGCACTTTACATAATTATTGTACATGCACATCAGTTCCTGCCCTCAAGGAGCTTACAGTCTAAAGTCCCTAACATTCATACATACTAGGACCAATTTAGACAGGATCCAATTAACCTACCAGCATGTCTTTGGAGTGTGGGAGGAAAGCAGAGTACGCAGAGGAAACCCACACAGGTACAGGGAACACATGCATGGGATTAGAAACGGCGACCCTAGTGCTAGGCGGAAGTGCTACTCACTTAACTTTTCAAACCGTAGCGCAAAACGCAACGCAGTTTTGTGAAAATTCTCATAGGATTTAAAAGGAAATAATTCTGATGTGCTTTTGTCCAAATGGAAAGGTGTATTCCAGCACAACAAAAGCGCATCAGCAGGACAGGAGTCTAAGGAAAAATGTGGTCCTGAGAATCCATGAATCCCACAGTGTCTGTCTTCCAATGGAACAGGGTATGAAGTTCTTGATTGCAACATTAAAAAAATAAATAAATAAAAATAAAAAAAAGCAGGATACTAAATGACTTTGTGAACACAGACTTACACCTCTGAATTCTTTAGAACACAATTTATTTTAAAACTCTTTTTGTAATAAAATAAATATTTTCACAACTAAAAATGTAACATTCAAAAAAGGCAAGATTATAGCCTAAAGCATCCCACATCACACTAGCAGAAAAATAATGAAAAGCCATACTTCAAATATATGTATAGTATATTTCCTTAACATATACTGCCACTTATGTCACCCGCAAACAGTTTTTTAGATAGACGATTATGCCTGTAGATATTCTGTATTGACTTCAACAGCATACCATAATGCCCACACAGCTGGGGTCACATCCTTTACTGACAAATTACAGATGTGCTGTTAATTAAATGCAGAAAAGGCAATCCTTGCATTAACAAAACCTCTGTACTATATTACACCAGATATTTAAAGCAGAACTACATCCTTTAATCCTTTACAGCCCAGGAAGCTGACATCTTAGGATCCAATTGATCCACATTTGCCATGATGTTATACATGTGATCAGCTATGAGACCAGCCTTTTGATGGCTTATTAGTTTGGCTGAGAAATAACATTGGTACACCAGCAACTGTGACAGTTTTTATTCAAGGCATGCCTTGAATTTAACGGTTTTCAGAAACCATTAAAATCAGAACTAAATTCTGTGAAATACTTCCTCCTTCCAGAGATGCGATGGTTACCTCCCTCACCGGCCGCTCTCCTCTTCTTCACAGGCTCCTTCCAGGTGCCCATTTCTTGGCCTCTTGATTGGCTGGCAGGATGACATCCCTCACATGCACAAGAGAGTCAGTCGTGCGGACACAGCCAGGGTGTACACTGAGCTATGCATGTGCCACTCCGTGTATGTTCATTAGAAGACTGCGGGGCAGGCAGGCAAATGTGTATTACTGCAGAAGACACATATAGCATGTTTCTTTTACATGAAAAGAGCTGTCCACTTGCAGTTTTAAAACTTTAAATTTGGCTCCACTTTAAATTGGTGGGTTATTAAGGTTTTTGTAGCTCACATGGGTCAACAGGGCAGGACTGACAACTCTGCAAATTGCACAGGGCATCACCACGATTGTGGATCTGGAAGAATTACAGGCATCTTTTGCAATCAAACAGAAAATAGTATAACCGACTGCTTTCGACTTTACCCACTTGCCCTCCAGAGGATTTACCCCCCCTTCCTGACCAGGCCATTTTTTGCAAAAAGGCGCTGCATTGCTTTAACAGACAATTGCACAGTCATGCAACGCTGTACATAAATTATATTTGTCATTTTTTTCCCACAAATAGAGTTTTCTTTCAGTGGTATTTGATCACCTCTGCGGTTTTTATTTTTTGCGCTATAAACAAAAAAAGTGACAATTTTGAAGGAAAAAAAATAATAATATTTTTGATTGTTTGCTATAAAAAAAATAAATAAATAAAATTTCTTCATAAATTTAGGCAAAAATGTATTCTGCCTCATGTCTTTGCTAAGAAAAATCCCAATAATTGTATATTAATTGGTTTACATGAAAGTTATAGCATCTACAAATGGCGGTATATATACTGGAATTTTTATTATTTTATTTTTTTTTACTAGTAATGGTGGCAATTAGAGACTTATAGCAGGACTGCAGCGGGCATTCTGACACTGGATGGGAACTGACTAACTGCCACTGACATCCCCAGTGACACAAATACAGTGGTCAGTGCTAATAAAAACCACTGACACTGTAATAATGACACTGGGCAGGAAGGGGTTAACATCTGGGGTGATCAAAGGGTTAACAGTGTGCTGTGTGTGTTTTACTTGGGAGACATGCTGCTTTGTATCTCACAACATACAAAGCAGCATGTCCATGCTGACAGGAGAGAGACCTGTGTTGTTTACACTCAGGTCTCTTCCCTGTCAGCTTTGCCAACAGTCACCAAGTGCTGGCCGGGAATCTCCAGCTGGGAGCTGTTGACTGACATCCCCACCAGCCAATAGCAGCGCAGATAGGGTGGCACGCGTGCCCCCCTACCTGGCAATGCAAATCACGTATATATACGTGATTTTATGCAGCCGTGCCGCCTTGTAGCAGTACTTCTACTATAGGGCGGATGGCAAGTGGTTAACAGACTGAAAGGGAGAAAATTAGTTCATTCTTAGGGTTAACTTACACTTTAAAAAGGAACTAAACCAATGGATTTAACTGTTTCCCAAAACCATTACATTCAAGGCATGCTGTGAATGATAACTGTTACATCTGCTTGTGTACTCAACCAAACTGTCAAGCAATCAATTCGCTAGTGTCATAACTAATCATATGTGCAGCACTATAGCTACTGCAGATCAAACAGGGCTAAGAGAGCAGCTTTCTTGGCTGTAAGAGAAAGGGGGTTTCATTCCACTTTAAGACTGAGCTGGTACCTCTGGTAGTTTAGCTAACACCAAATACCCAGTCCCTGCGGATCCCTGCTTTGATACAATGATGGTCTTGCCTGCACTGTGTGTACAATACGAAAAAAAATCCCTACAACAGTAACGTCACTTATGTGTAATAATTATGTCCCATGTTGTGCAGGCAGCTGGATCCTGGTGAAATCTTCACTGCAGGTACTCCCCATTTTCTGGCTCTGAACTCCCTGTGCTAAAATGGTTAATAGATTCAGATCTTCAGACAGAATAGCAGTACAGGTAGACTGACAAGTACATGCCCTCTTCTTCTTCCTCCATTAGGAAATGTTCCTTCATTGATTATACTGTTTATAACATGGTCTGTGAATGGGGGAGAGAGAATTCTGTTACTCATCAGGCTCCCCCCTTCACAGATAGTGTTACAGGCAGTGAAATCAAAGAAAGAACTTTTCCTAATGGAGGAGGAGGAAGAGGGTCCTCATCGCATTATCTTTATTGTTGTTCTGCCTGGAAACCCGAAGCTATTAACCATTACAGCATCATGAGTTCAATGCCAGGAAGAGGACAGGCATCCCTGCAGTGAAGATTTCTCCAGGATCCTTCTGCCTGCATAATGGGAACATACTTAATTACAGGTTTAATTACATGGTCTGTGAATGGGGGAGAGAGAATTCTGTTATTCATCAGGCTCCCCCCTTCACAGATAGTGTTACAGGCAGTGAAATCAAAGAAAGAACTTTTCCTAATGGAGGTGGAGGAAGAAGAGGGTCCTCGTCGCATTATCTTTACTGTTGTTCTGCCTGGAAACCCGAAGCTATTAACCATCACAGCATCATAAGTTCAATGCCAGGAAGAGGACAGGCATCCCTGCAGTGAAGATTTCTCCAGGATTTATCTGCCCGCATAATGTGGAACATACTTAATTACAGGTAAGTGTACCGGCTAAAGCCGTAGGAATTTTTTTAGCCAAACTTCAATTTTACGGTCCTTTTAAAATTTACCTGCACAGTTCCACACCTTTTTATTGTGTGCTGACTTGCATTGGGTTAAGACAGCCCAAACACTGTGCAGGCACGAACAAATGCACCTGCACAATTTTTGGCCAAGTCAGTGCACCATAATCATGCTTATACACCTGTGTTATAGTGTGCTGAAGGGAAGGTGCATTTCTTCGCATGGTATTGGTGTGTTGGGTTACCATTCAGAATGAATGCAATGCAACACAGATATACTATGTGTAAAATTCAAAATGCAGGCTATATGAATGTACTGACATACAGCTATAGCAATTGTAACCCACTGATGGTATTTGGCTGAACTTGGCATCTAAGTTAACTTTTTCATTATATGGTTGCCTTTTCATCAAAAACGTATCAGAACTCCAGTCAAGTCTTTGGCAGCTATTGCAATAAACCCTCAATGACCATTTCTTCTGTCATACATCTTTATTCCTGGAAAAGTAGAAATCTATTCCTCTGTTCCTGTGGTGTTTAGGTGTATACGATGGACCTTTTCCTCTCTTTGCTGGTGCCGCACCACTATCCTGCAAAACACAAAATGTAATGTTTTACTCAGATGCTAAAGTGGAGTTCCAGCCGTTTTTGTGTTTATTAAAAAATCAGCAGCTACAAAAACTGTAGCTGCTGACTTTTAATGAACACACACTTACCTGTACTGGGGTCCAGCGATGTACGCACCTACATTGTCCCTTCTCCCCTTCTGTCCTCCACGGCACCGGCATCTCTACTGTGGGCATCCAGACTGTGACAGCTTGCGGCTTCACAGCCTGGTGCCCACTGTGCATGTGAGAGTCGTGCCGCACCTACTGAATGGTCCGGTAGGTTCCTGGGACCTGTAAAAAGTTCCCAGGAGACAGCGGGAGCAAGGAGGGGCTGAACTTCCGGGTCGCTTCGCCACAGCAAACTGATCCGGACGTGGGAGCGGGTATCTGTTAAAAATATTGTTAAAAGTATTGGGGATTTCCAAGCGCTTCTAAATATACTATCAGGTCTTAAACCACATGCTTTACAATTTTCAGGTTAAGAAGGAAATATTTGCATATAGGTTCTAGTGTCAAAACCTGGAAGAAAATGTTTGATCGGGGTTAGGTTGTGGACAATCTCTCCAACTCTCCAAATTTGTGTCGCCTCCCTGAAGGTACCAGATTTTATAAACATGATTGTGATTTAGCTGGGATCAACATTTGTATAGCATGGCTACCTGAAATAGATATCCTCCCAGGGGGCACCGCTAGTTTAAAGATTAAAAGAAACCTTAAAGCCGGACAAACATGATTCATTTTTGTTTGTTTAATAAGTGGGCAGAACAAAAGAATTGAGCTGATTTCTCCATTGACACATTTGATGTTAATAGGAGAATTATTCTCATGGTGGTATTGTACTCTGACAATGGGGCCGCCATCAGAATTCCGTGATCAGTGTTGCCAGCAATAACCGTTGGCACTGACCTTTCAGCAAAAAAGATGACAGGCTGGTTGTACACAAATCAATCAATAGAATGACTTGTGTACAATCAGCCCACTGGACCAGCTTAATTTCTCTCCATGTATGGCCAGCTTAAGTGAGAGAAATTTGGGGGCTGGCATTGTGGACCTCTCACTAAAAATGCTAGCTGCCTGGCTGCCTCTAGCTTAAATACTTTCTGAGTCCCTAAATAGGAACAAGTTTGCAGCCAATTTAGTCAAAACTCCCAGTCAACAGGCTTGTTCATTCATTAACCTAAAATGATCAGAAGCAGAAATCAGCAGTAATGGTCCCCATTTTCTCCAATTTCCTTTAAAGTAGCACTCCAACCAAAATCTTTTTACATGTCCCTGTTAAGGAGATTTCTTCTTACTTCTTGTTGCTAGACTAGAGCAGGAAGTGAGCAAAAATTTCCCAGTGGTAACACATACAGCAATAAAAGCACTGCTAAAACTAGGAACAGTCAGACCTTCTGACAGATTTTTCTTACAATCTTTGTTCTCAGTGAAGACTTGAACTGAATTTCATAACTCCTGTTCTGTCACTGGGACAAGAGAAAGTAAAAAAAAAACAAAAAACAAAGAAAAAAACCCAAAACAAACACACAAGTAAGAAAAATATTGTCAGGAGTTTTTGATTTTTTCTTTGTGCACCAAGTGTAGAGGTTTACCATCTCTTCTTGTCCTGACAGGAAGTGAGCTGATATCCTCCCTCCTGGATCAGAAGACATTAAAAACCCCTAAGAGGACCTATCCTCCCAGATCTATCTAAATCTAAACAACAAATGTGTTGGCCATAATTGATCCTAGACCCCTTGCCATCGGCTGTATGCATACATGTGGCAACATGGTGGTTTTACTCTGAGTTGCCACATATATTCACACAGCCAATGTTGCTGTTCTGTGCTAGGAGCGTGGGGTCCCCAGCACTGTGACCTCACTGTCACTGACAGCTCCTGGTCACCATTTATGACTGGGGGCCAGTGGGGCGGGCTTCCCATAGAGTGATCACTGTGACAGCTAATCACAGTGATCACATGACCAAGAATCCCATGTAATGCCTCCTGCATTACGACCTTTAAAGGGCCAGCTCCTGCCTGCTGAAAAGGGATAAGCACAGTTGTGTTTTGATTTGACAATTAGAGAGCGGTTGGTATAAGACAATACACTGAGGAGTTGCACTCACCGGCTTCTGATTGACATGTCGGCTCCATTCTGGTGCCATGACTATTGGAAGAGGGTAGGTCTTTCCTAGAGTTACATTGGCATGGGATAGGGCAGAATTACTCAGTGCCCAGGGAGCATGAACATCACCGCCTTTTATCTGTTGCAATTCTGAAACCCACAGTCGGATATAATCGCCCTTAGAAAGACAAATTTAAAAAAATGAAACAAAAAGCTCAGCTGCACAGAAAGCAATTAAAATACTGTATGTAACAACATTATCAGAGTTATGATTTTAGTATGAAGCCCCTAACCACCCACACTTAATATTGCTAACTGCAGCTTGGCAAATCCTCTAAATCAGACCATATCTTGATGTGTCAGTCGCATGAGGCTTTCTGTGGGAACTCTCCCTTCTCTCTAGGTCTGAGCCACAGTAAAATCTATGTGTATATAGAAGGGAAATCAGGAAGTAACCTCTGCAACCCAACCTTACACCAGTATGATCTAAAATGCACTAAAACAGAAATATACAAGGAATGCTGGAGCAGACACTGGCAACTCTGGCTTGTAGTTATTTTAAAGAGCAACTTTAAGCATCAAGAGATCTCAATCAGTAATCTTCTAATTCTACCCAAGAATCACTAGAGAGCTCTACAAGATGTCAGATGGCTAGGTCTGCAATGTGCAACTCTCCTTTTATAAAAGTTTTAAACGGACCTTCACCCACAAGTGAAAGTACCACTTATCCTCCTTCCCACCCCGCCGCTAATACATTTAAGACTTTTTTTTCTTTTACAGAGAGCAGGTACTTTTTTTTTTTGACAGGTATCCACTCCCACTTCCTCAATTGTCGCTTAGACAATAATGACATTGCTCGTCCCGCCCCCATATCCACCTGCAGCATCCTGGACACATCTCACATTCCAGGAGGCTGCAGGACCAGTGCAAAATGGAGAGTCTGCTGCGATTTCCTCAGGAAGTTACAACTGACTCCCAATTCCAAGATGCCGGCACCGGGGACCCACAGGAGAGAGAAGAAACGGCTGCGGGAAGAAAATTGCTGGACTTCAGGGACTGTAAACATCTGGATTTTTAAAAAAGTCAGCTACAATATATTTGTAGATGCTGACTTTTAAATTTTTTTTTTTAAAAAAGGGGAAGGATCTTCCTTGTTAAGAAAATTATTTCTGTCTAGACATCAATCAGATGAAAAGTTTCAAGGCTGTTTTGAAAAGTAGCTAAGAATGCACCTACTTTTTATTTTTTCACAGAATTTTACTGAAATTGACACTTCAATACAGTTCTATCCACTGCAGCAGATTTGCAATGTGGTAGCTCCTGCTTCAACCTGCTGCACAAAAAATATATAGCGCATGCAATGGACATACCTGGAAATAAGGCATTTTGCCTCCTCTATGCGTTAGGGCTGCGCTGGAAATAGCTGCCAGCATAGCCTCAACATATCTGGTGTACAAGGGCCTTTACACTAAAATGTTAACAAATAAAATTGACAGATAAAAAAAAAAAAAAAAAAAAAAGATAGAATGGGCTTTCGTAATCACAAAGGCCTCAAGTAAGAAGGGGCTTTTCATATCTTTAAATGGAGCCTCGAATCTGTGTTGCTATGGGCAATACATTCCCACATTATAGCTTGGATTATATAGGTCTAAAAAAAAAAAAAAAGAAAAGAAAAGGATCCCTGAAACAGAAAGTTTGAGGACTTCAAAGAGATGATGGTGATGTTAAAGCAGACAGGTAATATGGCTCTTTATTCAACAAAATACATACATTCCCATCATAATCCAGCCCTTGCTTTATCATATTGAACTTCCTATTCTCTCTCGGGTCATTCCCAATTCCGGCGCTATACAACCAGTTCCCATAGTTACTGCAAACATCATAATCCACCTAGAAAGAGAGATAAAATGAGACAATTAATTGACTATAGCTCTGTGCATCACAGTTTCCTTATCTGTAAGTCCACAGAACGGCACTGTAAAATGCGTAATTAGCAAATACTTCTCTGCAGAACAGAAAACACCAATAAGCCAAACAGGAATTGCCAGTTTCAGATGACTAAATACTATGGCGTTTAAAGGCTCAGGCTACCTTTTCTACCAGGTTTCAAGCTACATCTATATTTAACATGAAACATGGTAGCATATTTTAGTCCCAAAACCCACACCACCCACTATTATCTGTATTGCAGTGTGCATCCTCAAGGGAAAGCCTGTTACTGTATTTCTTGAATTTTAGCTCTGTGGGAATCTAGATTTTTTATAGAAAACGCAACAGCGATCCCTTCTCCTTCACCGCTGTAGTTCAGCTGCACTTCCTCCAGTCAGGTATGGACCTGAAACTGGGTGGAAGCTTTGCATGAGCCTGTGCGCTGCACCCACCATGCACTGACAGCGATTGCAATGCATAGGCCTCAATGGAAAAATATAGAAAATGCAAACTTTTATGAAAAAAATCTTAATGCAGTTACCAAAATAATGCAAAAGATGGAATATATTATTAATTACAAAACTTGTAAAACAGAAGACAGAAAAACACATATTAATAAATTATTTACATCACTTTAGCCTCTTTTACATGTTAATCTATACAAAAAAGTATACATTACTTTACAGCCTATTACTCTGCTGAAATGCATGATTAAATGTTTGTCAAACCATGCATCTAAGTGTGCTGTGTAGTAGTGTTGCAACTGCACCTCGTTGAAACAAAAAGGGTCATTTTTTATTTTTTTTTTTTTTTTAGATGCACTGTTTTTTTATTTGAAACATGCAAGTATTGTAAGTGTAGTGTGGCTGTGTGACTAGTCAAAGATAAAACCTTTTTTCTAGTAAATACTGCACAATGCAAAAAAAAATGTAATAAGGTAGGCCCATTGCATAGCAAAGAAACTCCTTGTGAAGAATACCCAATACCATCCTACCTGTGTAAAAATCTGCACATTATGCTTGCATAGAATCAGTTCTTCATTTCTATGATTTACACAAATAAAATAAAGAAGTTGTGGTCAAGATCACACTTCCCTTTGTCACCACAATTTAAAGTCGTTCCACTTGTTCATGCACATACTGGGTCTGTTGACACCTAACTCCAACAATTTCTCATGCAAACATCAATATGTCTTACTGCATTGATGTAGGCCAGGCATGTCCAAAGTCCGGCCCGCGGGCCATTTACGGCCCCGGGGTCGGTTTAATACGGCCCTCCCTGCTCTGTGTAATGTGGCCCTCCCACGGCCCTCCCTTCTATGGCAGACAGTCTTCTGCAGGGAGAAGGGCGCGCCTGACTGCGGCGCGTTCTCCCTGGTCTGTGTAAATGCGGCTGTCGCACGGCCCTCCCTTCTGTGGCAGACAGTCTTCTGCTTGATAGCAGTGCGCATGCGTGACTGCGCCATGCTGGGAGCGACAGAGGGCGGACGTCAGGGCCGGGCTTCCAGCGTGAAGTGTGTTTCTCTTCTCCTCCCGGCTGCCGAGCAGAGACTTCAGCTCCAGCTACCTTTTTCACCCTTCACATTAGTGCAGGTAAGTTTTTTTAAAATTTATTTTCAATACATTGTGAAAACTCAGCTGTCAGTTGATCTTAATATTATGAAATGAAAAGTATGTCGTTTACAATTAAATGCAAATAATTTATTTTATGCCAAGTTAATTGCAATGGTTCAAAGAATGTTCGGAAAAATGTTCGGCCCTCCACCATGTTCACTTCATCCAATCTGGCCCTCTTTGAAAAAAGTTTGGACACCCCTGATGTAGGCAAAACATAAAAAAAATAAAGACTGCAATGTGTTAACATGTTGGTCTACTCCTTGGTGCCGGGTTTATCACTGTTCATACACCTCCCTACATCTGTTAGTCACTGAACTCATATCCTGTCATCCTTGCAGCAGGTAAAGATACATGTCTTCACGTAATCAGAGGAGAGCAAAGGATGAGAGGAAACAGAGAAGGTAGAGAGATGCACTGCAATCTGTGGAGAGAAGTAATCCAGATGGAAGCATTAACTAGGATCAGGTTATACACACTCTTTATTATCAATTTAAAGTGGGCCTACAATCTTATAGGAAGCATCTAGAAAAGTGAAAGTGGCATTAAACCCACATTATAAAAAAAACAAAACCTATCAATAAATGTGGTATTACATGCTGTTCATACTCCGTCACAATGGAGGAAATTTACTAAAATTGGAGCACTGAGAATCTGGTGCAGCTGTGCATGGTAGCCAATCAGCTTCTAACTTCAGCTTGTTCAATTAAGCTTTGGCAATATAACCTGGAAGCTGATTGGTTTCTATGCAGAGCTGCACCAGATTTTGTACTCTCCAGTTTTAGTAAATAACACTGTATTGGATTAATTTTCTGTATTCTGCAATAAAACTGGTTGATCCTGCTGTTCTGTCTTCCCTGTTCCTGTTCATGTCCCCAATGCAGTTGGGGATTTTAACCACTTGCCTACCAGGCACTTATACCTCCTTCCTGCCCAGGCCAATTTCCAGCTTTCAGCGCTGTCACACTTTGAATGACAAATGCGTGGTCATGCAACACTGTGCCCATATGAAAGTTTTAGCATTTTGTTGTGACAGAGCTTTATTTTGGTGATATTTTATTTTATTTTTTCTTAAACAAACCAAAAACCACTGAAAAGTTTGAAAAAAAAAGTTTTTCTTAGTTTTTGTTATAAAATTTTGTAAATAAGTAATTTTTCTCCTTCACTGATGTGCGCTAATGAGGCTGGACTGATGGACACTGATAGGTGGCACTGATGAGCATTGACAGGCATCACTGATGGGGCACTGAAAGGCAGTACTCATATATGGCACTGATAGGCGACACTGACTAGCTCTGTTATGTAGCACTGACTGGCACTGTTATGCGGCACGGATAGGCAGCACTGCACACTGATAAGCGGCACTGACTGGCACTGATGGGTGGCACTGACTGGCACTGATAGGTGACACTGAATGCAGCTCAGATGGGCACTGATATGTGGCATTGATGTGGCACTGAAATATGGCACTGATGGGCACTGGCAGGTGGCATGGATGAGCACTGACAGCTGGCACTGATGGACACTGACAGGTGGCACTGCTGGGGCTACACAGATCATCAGGGCACACTGATCATCAGTGCTCTGATGATCTGTGTACATGTCCCCTCCGAGGAATGCCGATTACCGGCTCTCCTCTCCTCTGTCAGCGTGACAGCTCGTGAGGAGAGAAATGCTGATAACCGGCATTTCCCTGTTTTACATGTGATCAGCTGTGATTGGACATGACCGAGCCAACATCTTTGGCTCTTTCCATTGATCGGTGATCTGCTGTGTCCGAGGGATCGCCGTGCTGCGCGCTCCCAAAGCTGCGCATGCACAGTTAGAATGGGAGGACGTCATATGACGTCCTCCCAGAACGAACGAGAGAGCGGTCTTGCACCCGTTATTGTACTATATGGCGGGCGGGAGGCGGTTAAAGAGCAGTGATGGCAGCTACTGCACATGCTCAGTTTTCAGTGAGTTTCTATGCTGAGCACTTCCTCCCCATCACCTGACAGCAGCCCATGTGACCATAGAGTCATACATGTGGGCGTAAACACAGTGGTAAACAACAGCCCACTTCCTCCCTCCTCTTGGATACCCACAAACCAGCTAAACACAATTGGGGCAGAAAAGTACATGTAGATTGATGGAGGCTTCACCTTCCTTTTATTCTAAGACACAGACTGGAGGGGCGTGACAGCCTGTGAGTGGCAGAAATCCTCCCACACCATGTTATTGCCCATAAAGAATAAAGATTTGATTTCAAATACACAGTATATTTGTATGACGATTTAAAACAGTTTGATATTTATTTTTACTCTGTATCCCAAAGGCTGTTTTTTATTTTTATTTTTAACGTGTGACCTGTATCAGAGGACTAGAAGGTCTTCCTGCCACTGTTTGCCTGCAGACAGGCTGTCAAAGAGCTGGGTCATGTGACAGCTGTATATTTATTAGAAAAAAGGAACTTAGATTTTTTTTTTTTTAATTAAAATAATTACAGTGCCATCATTCACATACAGAAAGAGAAGTGATAATGTAAAGTTTACAGTGTGCGTTTAGAATCACTTTAACTGCCCCTTAGCAGTACCATGACAAATTTACATTTTGTTTAAAACTCCTCCTGAAAATAGTGCACTTCATGTGTCAAGGCACTCCTATGCCTACAGCCTCATAGCTGTATATTTTAGTGTTCTCCTTGCTGGAGAGAAAGCTATACCCAAGAACATTTGATGCAAGGATCTCCCGTTTCTGCTTTATTCATCCTGTGGACCTGTCCTTTCTACACCTCTCCTGCTGTTGATTGATGATTCCCCACCAGTCATCAGATCACTAGTCTTCAAACCATGAGGAACCAAAGCCGTGTATCTACCAGAGTACAGAACAAGACATTGTAAGCCAGCAACAGGGAAAGATCGGCTGTAGGGAGCCCACAGGCAATATTGATGGTTTTTTTTCCCTCCCCTGGCTGCTTTTTAGCTGCCACAATTTAGATCTTTTAATTCTCACTCAGAGCACTTCTGAAAGGTGCATTATATTATTTAACCACTTTTACCCCCTTCCTTCCCAGGCCAATTTTCATCTTTCAGTGCTGTCGCACTTTGAATGGCAATTGTGTGGTCATGCAACACTGCATCCAAACAACATTTTTATCTTTATCTGAGACATATAGAGCTTTCTTTTGGTGGTATTTAATCACCACTGGGTTTTTTATTTTTTGCTAAACAAACTAAAAAAGCCTGAAAATTTTGAAAAAAAAAAAAAAAGTTTTTTCTTAATTCTGTTCAAAAATTTTGTAAATCAGTAATTTTTCTCCTTCACGGATGTGCGCTAATGAGGCTGCAGTGATGGGCGGCACTGATGGGCATTGACAAGCATCACTAATGGGCACTGAAAGGCAGCATTAATATATGGCACTGATTGGAACTGTTAGGTGGCACTGATAGGTGGCACTGAAAGGCAGCACTGATGTGCACTGATATGCGGCATTGATGTGCACTGGTAGGCACTGATATGTGGCATTGATGGGCACTGATAGGTAGCACTGATGGACACTGATGGGGCTACACTGATCAGCAGGGTACTGACCATCAGTGCACTGATGATCAGTGTAGATGTCCCCTCTGAGGAATGCTGCTTACCAGCTCTTCTCTCCTCATGCGCTGTCAGCGTGAACAGAGGACTTCTGATAAGCGGCATTTCCTGTTTACATGCATTCAGCTGTGATTGGACACAGCTGATCACATGACAGAGCCTGTTTCATCGACTCTTTACGGTGATGGGTGATCAGCAGTGTCCCAGGGACACAGCGCACCACCGATCCCCCTGATGCGTGCCCCCGGTGGCACGCATGCGCCGTTAGAGTGGGAGGACATCATGTGACGTCCTTCCTCCCAGAACGAGAGAGCTACCGCCCATCCGTCATTTCCTTATATGGCGGGTGGGAGGTGGGTAAACATGTCAGCAGATTTTTTTTATTCTATAAAATTGTTTTCCATTTACTTTGATATTATACTAACACTCGTAAGTTAAAACAGTGTATTGAGTTTGTGACAAATCCTCATTTTTACTATTACCTGCTACAAGGTCTGCAATGTGGCTTCTAGGACAATATGGCATGGTCTGTCAAATTTTAGCAGGGAGCTTCCTTTTCTGCTAAAGGCTATCCCTTCTTCAGTCTATCATGAATGCTGCTGCCAGACTCATCCACCTCACTAACCGTTCTGCATCTGCCACCTCTCTCTGCCAATCCCTCCACTGGCTTCCCATTGCCCAACGAATAAAATTCAATACATTAACAATAATGTATAAAGCCATTTATAACTCTGCCCAAATTACATCAACAATCTTGTCTCTAAATATCACCCAAACCGTACTCTCTGCTCCTTGCAAGACCTCCTGCTCTCTAGCTACCTTGTCTCCTCCTCCCATGCTCATCTCCAGGACTTCTCCAGAGCTTCCCCCATCCTCTGGAACTCTCTACCCCAATTTATCAGACTATTGCCTACTCTGCTCACTTTTAGGCGATCTCTGAAAACCTATCTCTTCAGGGAAGCCTATCCTGCCATCAGCTAATAAAGGAATCTTCTACTCTTCCAACCACTCCATCCCCCCCAGTTACTACCTTTTGTACTACTAGCCCCTCCCTCCTAGATTGTAAGCTCCAAGGAGCAGAGCCTCCTTTCCCTCTTGTATTGTACTGTATCGTTGCTGTATTGTCTCCCGTTATATTGTAAAGCGCTGAGCAAACTGTTGACGCTATATAAATCCTGTATAATAATAACAAAAGGGATGTTCACTGTTTGAGCACAACTCTCTAAAGTTCTCAAAGATGTCGAGTTTCTCAGCCCAATAAATTGATGATGTAGTCCTGATCAGAAGCTTAGCAAAAATCCTACTGAATATGCTCCAGTGTTTCCAAAATTTAAGGAAACGTTCATTAAACGTTCATCAAAAGTTCATTAATTTATGCATTTCCTGAAGTTTTAAGAAGCGTAAACAGGCTGTACACTCATCAACTATGTTGAGTATATGCTGGAATGGGCCATCCGTCTGTCAACCCTTGTGTGGGCTGTATTATGTCATATGTGAACGTTCTCATTTATCAAGGTGATGACATATCTAGTAGTAGTCACATCCAGCTGGACTGTAATGCTGAAGAGGTTTTGCCACTTGTCCAACTAGCTTATTAGTTCAATTCAATATGAGCGGACGTGATATTTGATACATCATTGCGAACAGAGCTTTAGGAAAAGAAGACAGAACTTTACAGACAAAATTGCCATAAAAGTTATTATATTTATATGTTCACAAGGATCTCACCAGCAAATATTCAAACCACTCAGCGCCCATCCTCCAATCTATTCCAAGATCTTTAGTGAGAAAGCTGGCCACATTCTGGCGCCCTCTATTTGACATAAATCCAGTCATTGCCAGCTCACGCATATTAGCATCGACGAAAGGTACTCCAGTACGACCCTCTATAATGACAAACAGCAAAAGACAACTGTTAGGTGCAAGGATAATTCCGCAGCAGATACAGTCTACAGAGGCCTGTGTAAAGAAAAAAAAAAACTGGTTAGACCCCAATTTATTGCATAGCCATCAATGCTGCCATGTATATGCTCCCTTACTAAAATGTGCTATCTTCTCAGGGTGCTGTGAGACACAGCAATCTGCTCTGCTTCATCTCTCGGAAAGATTATTCCACTTTCAACCCTGTACGTCAAAAAAAATAGAATTCGAATAGCTCTCCATTTCCCCATGTCTCTTTAAAAATGATGCAAATACAGAAAATACCTTCCAGAAATCCAGTGAGCACATAACATACTGTGCTGCACTGAAATCCTGAACAATGTGACCAGTCCTAACCAGTTCACTTCTATGGTCTACAGAACACCCCTTCCCCTCTCAATTCTATGGAGATATGGAGAGATGGAGAAGTGTTGTAGTCATAAAGCCCTTCCTACCCTAGGGTGATAACCCTGCTCCTCCATAGATACAGTACAGTTAGCAAGCGCTGTTACCCTAGAACAGGAAATATGTTACCGGCAGGATCACCAAGTGAAAAGAAAAAAAACACTTCTAAAAAACATGTAAACTGCAACATGATACATTTTTGTTCATGGGCTTAGATACACTTTAGGACGGCTTCACAGTGCCCCTATGAGCTTTTGCTAAAGTGCAGCTAATCCACAGTTTTTGTGCAAGTTAGTTGAGCTTTCCCAAAAACTTCTATGAAGTCCTGCAGTTTTTGGTGCACTTTCTGCGAAGGTAACATGCGAGTTAGCTGTAGTTTGCCCAATGCAGCAGGACTGCACCAGGGTTGTGAGAAGCCGCCCTTAAAGTGGTACTAATGTCTTGTTTAAAAAAACAAACAAACATGTTATACTTACGTGCTCTGTGCAGTGGTTTTGCACAGAGCAGTCTGAATCCTCTTCTTGGGTCCCCTGCCAGCGCAGGGGGGCTGGGGGGCTGCAACATACAGATGTTTTTTTACCTTCATGCATACAATGCATGAAAGTAAAAAACCTTGAGCCTTTACAACTACTTTAACCGCTTCCATACCGGGCACTTTTACCCCCTTCCTGCCCAGGCCATTTTTCAGGTTTCAGCGCTCTCACACTTTGACAATTGCGCGGTCATACACCACTGTACCCAAACTAAAATTTTATCATTTTCTTCACCCAACTAGAGCTTTCTTTTGGTGGTATTAAATCACCACTGGGGTTTTTATTTTTTGCTAAAATTTTTTTTTTTTGTTTCGGTTATAAAAGTTTGCAAATAAATAAGTGTTCTTCATAAATTTAGGCCAAGATGTGTTCTACTACATGTCTTTGGTGAAAATAACCCAAATTATGATGTATTATTTAGTTTGTAGGAAAGTTATAGAGTTCACAAACTATGGTATAGATCTGAATATTGATCAATCATGAAGTACTGACAGCCAATCTAATTTCTTGAGGTCCAAGAATGTCAGAACAGTACAGATATCCCCCAAATGACCACTTTTTGTAAAGTAGACAGTCCGACATATTTCATAAGAGGCACGGCGAGTCTTTTGAAGTTGTAATTTTTTTTGTCATAATTTTTCGGAAAATGAAACAAATTATTTTCACTATTTTTTTTTTTTTTTTTTTTTTTTTACATACTGTCACCAGTGCAGTACAGCATCATCATATAACTGGCATGGCAGTGATCAGGGACACTGACTGGTGACAGTATGAAAAAAAAAATTATAAATATAAAAAATTTGTTTCTTACTTTTAATTTTTTATTAATTTTTTTTCTTTTTTTTTTCAAAGATTTTTTTTTCATATTTCACTATGACCAAAGTAGCACAATGTTACCATAGTAACATTGTACTACTTTGGGGAAGTGATCAGTATTTTTTTTTTTTTTTTTTTGTTTTACACAATTTGCTTATAGCAAGCATTTACCTGAATGACTTCGACTCATTCAGGGGTTTGTTTTTGTGCTTAGCTGTGATTTGGCCACAGCTAATCACATGACACAGCTGGGCTGTGATTGGCCCAGTTTGTGCATGTGATCGCTGTGACCATTCACAGCTAGACACACTAGTATACAATGGATGGCATGAAAGGAAGCCATCAATTGTATACAACTGTCATGTGACCTGCTGTGATTGGTCACATCTGGTCACATGGTACCGGCAACGGGGCCGGTACTCAGATCTGTCATTGGCCGTGTCCGAGGTACATGGCCGGTGACAGATCGCGCTGCTGCGCGGCTCTCCGGGCATGCAAACTGCGCATGCCTGAAAGGACGCCATATGGCGTCCACCCGGAGGGACAAGGGGTTTTGCAGGCCGCCATCTGGCTATAGGCCGGGCGGGAACCGGTTAAGGTTCCCACTAGCATATTGTCAACTTCATTAATTACTAGTACCAGCAGACTTGATGACTTTCCAGCAAACAAACAACAAACCCCCCCCCCCCCCCCAAAAAAAAAAAAACAACTGCCATTTTGCCCAGTCAGGAAAAAAGTTACGGAGTCTCTATAAAGCCCCCATCCCAACCCACTTATATTTACCTTCACAATGCTCCCCCACCACTCTTTCCTCCACTGCATCTGGCAAAAATAAAAACATGCTTCTGGGTACGAAGGAGCATGTGACTGCCTTCTATGATGCGCTGTTCAGGCCTAACGACAAATACTAGACATGCACTGTCAAAGGACGGCGGGAGTAACATCACCGCCCCGTTCAAGATCCGACATTAAGCATAGACTGGGTACTTTATGATGACTGCGATGGCGAAAGGAGCAAAAGGGGAGGCAAGTGTAAGTGGGTCAGGAGGTGGACCTCAAAGAAGGTTTTCACCTTGCCCTTGATAGGCAAAATAGCAAGGTCTTTCAGCTTACAGGAGTTTGGATTCTCTGCGTTCCTGCCCTTAATACTAGTCCAGGTTCTGGAAATACTGTGAACCCTTTGACTTTAATACAGCAATACATAAAATAGTTATTTGTGTGTTTTATCATTTTCTACAAAATAAAAGGCAAGAGCGGTACTAACCTTTCCAGGCATCAAACAGTTGTTGATCTTTCTTCCAGGGGACATCTTTATCCTGAAGACCTAAATATTAAAAACATGTTAAATACTGTACTCAGTATTAAAAGAAAAACAGTCCGAGTACACATTTTTACTGTGGAACAGGTAAAGGGTTGCTATCTGTACTAAACAATTAGCACAGCTTTTACAACTTGTTTAAGTTTGGCCAATCAGTGATCACATGAATAGTAGTAAGCAAGATGTCACTTCCTGACATTGCTTACTAATAGTGAAATCTGTGAATGATCACAGAGGTCACATGGTACAAGGCTATTCACAACAGCCTTGTACCATGTGACAAGCTGTGACCAATCACACTCTCACAGTATTTCTCAATGGCTGCATGAATGCAGCCAGAGAGAAGGAGAAATGATTGCTTTTACAGCCTTTACAAAAAAATAAAAAATCTTCAACACCCCCCACCAGTAGTACAGGGTCGCTATGGTGACACTCTACTGCAAGGGTGACAGTATGTTAAAAAAAAACCCATAAATAATAATATAAAAAAAAAAAAATGTAAAAAATTTTTTTGAAAAATTATGATTTTTGGTTATAAACTAATTTGGGTTATTTTTTTCTTACTAAAAAAATAGCTGAATACATTTTGGCCAAGATTCATGAAGAAAGGTTATTTGCTAAATTTTATAAGAAAAAACACTTTTTTTCAAAATGTTTGGACTTTTTCATTTATATAGCAAAAAAATAAAAATCCCAGTGGTGAATAAATACCACCAAAATAAAGTTTATCGGTCTCAAAAAAATGCTAAAAAATTAACATGGGTACAGTGTTGCATGACTGCGCAATAGTCATTCAAAGTGTGATAGCACTGAAGGCTGAAAATTGGCTTGGACAGGAAGGGGGTGAAAGTGTCCAGACTTGAAGTGGTTAAATACAGCTAGTACTGTGTATATTTGCACATCTGGGTTTATATTAGCTTCCTGTAATCCCCCTGAACACAGACATCTCTATTTTTGTATTGCTTTCATACAAGAGGTCCAATATTCACAGATACGATATTGCCCTGGATGGCTTGGTCTACTGTCCATTTGGGTTTCATGGAGTACAGAGAGATGCAGCCAAGCAGAAAATGAGATCACAATTCTGAAAGATTGGCTCACTCTTTTCAGTTTCAGTGCTCATTGCACACAGTATGGAGACTTGCAAAGAATTTAGGTTTCCAATGACAAAAAAAAATCTAAGACAGACATCTTTGGAAGTATTTTACCTCTCAGAAAGAAAATTCTGCTGCCATATTTTAAAGCCACAAAACGGAAGTAATCCCGCCACAGAAGTTCAAAAATCACCCTAGAAAAGAAAGTTAATACTGTAGTTTAAATCGCAGAACACTGAAACATAAAAGTGAACCAAACCTAACCTAAAAAGGTAACAATATTGCTGGTACAATATATTGTGGTACCAGCAAGTATTCATGTTAACCTTCAAGCCAATCCTCATTTCCCATGGATCCTAGGACCGGGCTGTACACGGGACCTCTGTTTCCCTCCAAGTTGACATACTGGGGGTTATTTACTAAAGCTAAGAAAGTGCAAAATCTGGTGCACCTCTGCACAGAAACCAATCAGCTTCCAGGTTTTATTGCCAAACCTTAACTGAACAAGCTAATGTCAGAAGCTGATTGGCTACCATGCACAACTGCACCAGATTCTGAGTGCACCAGTTTTAGTAAATCTACCCTAAGCCTCACCACCTAGTCATCCATCTTGCACTGTTGTGTGTGAGCACATGGCAGGTATTCAAGGGAGTGACATGTTACCAGGGGGTAAAAAACATGTATGAACAAAAACATGCATTTTCATGGGCTTCCATTGACTTCTATGGTCCAAAAAACACATGAAACTGGAACAAAAATTGAAACTGAACGTTTATCAAAAATGCCGGAATCACAGTGCACAATTATTAACAGGCTCTATCAATAACCTTGCCAATGATTACACATACATTTTTGTGCATGTAGTCAATATGACTTTAGTACTTCTTTTAATGGAAGCGGAAAAACAAAAGACTTACCGGCAGGATCAAAAGGGAATAAAGTTTTGTTACAGGGAGGACTAAGAAAAACAAAAGACAGCTGTGTTAAAGTGGTTGTAAAGGCAGAAGGTTTTTTTATCTTAATGCAAAAAACCTTCTGTGATCAGACCCCCAGCCCCTCTAAATACTTATCTGAGCCCAATCTTGATCCAACACTGTGCCCGAGAGCAGCATTTCCGCTCTCTCTCCTTACAGGACAAAGAGGCAACACCACTGGCTCCTGATGCTGTCAATCAAATCCTGTTGAGGAGGGAGCAGGACCAAGACACATGGTGTGTTTCAATAGACACACATAGCCCAGGATCATGCCCGCATGAGTGCTCCCATAAAAAGTAACTTGCTATGGACTTAGAAGGGAGGAAGAGCCAGGAGCATCAGCAGGGGACCCCAGAAGAGAAGGATCGGGCTGCTCTGTGCAAAATCATTGTACAGAGCATGCAAAACATCATTTTTATGTTAGCCACAGATTGCATCATATATGTCATTTTTTTTATTTTGCCTATAGTTCCGCTCAGGGAAAACTCAAGACTTTGTTAGACCCTGTATCTAGGATCCCAAAAGTTCATTAGGTTCAGCCTGACTCGATTTTATCTTGGGAATGAGGTGAGAAGTCCCCATACTGGTGCTGCATCACAGCGCTGTATGCAGCCGACACTACATAAAATTTATATAGCGCTAACATCAGGCACATTTCTCAGAAAGGGAAATTGTTTGTGCCAGCTGGTCCAAATGAACTAGTTAAAGTGAAATGAAACCTGGAATTAAAAGTTTTAAAGGCTGACTCAGGTTCACTTTAAAATTACTTGAAAAGGGTATAAAGAAAAAGTATAACAGAGAATCTAAAAATACCTTTTCTGGAAAAAAAAAAAAAACAAACAAAAAAAAAAAAAACTTCCCGACTCCTTCCAGTGTTTATCACATGTCCAAAACCCAAAACATTGTCATATTATCTCTTGGGGATCAGAGTTCAGATTGATTGATCATTCATTTATTTGATGTAACATGACAAAATGTCTCGGCTATAAGACATGCAGGTAGCACTGAAAGGATACAAAGCAGCATGCCCATGCTGACAGGAGAGAGATCTATGTAGTTTATACACAGATGTCTCTCCTCTCAGCACCTGCCGACGATCACCGAGTCCCGACTGGGACCTGGTGATTGACATCCCCAGCAGCCAATAATGGCGTGGGTAGGGTGTGCACACCCCCCCTATCAGGAAATGCAAATCATGTGTATATGTTTGTGTGTGTCTGTGTATATATATATATATATATATGTATATGTATATATATATATATATATATATATATATATATATATATATATATATATAGATAGATAGATAGATTTAGAGAGAGAGAGAGACACACACACACACACATATATGTACACGTGATTTTGCGCAGCTGTGCCACCCTGTAACAGTACTTCTGCTATAGAGCGGATGGCAACTCGTTAAATAACAAAATGCAAGCTTTTAACAACTTGCGCCGGGTAAGAAAACGTCATATCCTGTGCAAGAAGCATTTCTTGTTTATTATACCAAACTTTCTACGTTACAAATCAGCCGAAAGACATAGTGCTGCTAGTCTAAAGCTGGTCATACACTAGTAGAATTTTCATTGAAAGAACGAATGTTCAATTAAAAATTCTACTTATTAGTGGAGTCAGACTGACATACGAGTCGACCACAGCGATGAGGAAATTAGAAGGAACAGGATGGGAAATTACGTTTGAATATTCACACATATGTACGTTCGAAACTCTACTAGTATATGGCCAGCCTAATTTACAGGCAATGTCATTACCAGACAGCCATGTAAAAAAGTAAAATTATGCACTTGAATTTTTGAACATTTCAGAATGTTACAAAAATGTTGCTCATGTTCTAATGTGTTGCATAGTATAGGAATTAAAATAAAGCTAATGACGTATACATGAAGCTAGTCCCCATAAAACAATCCGAGAGTCCCCATGTTTGATACAATCTTACCAAACAACCCAGGTGTCTCCAAATTGTCTACAAGTCTGGGATACAGTGGCCCTGTCACTCCTAACATGGCAAAATCTAATGTGTTTTGTCCTCACCTTTGGGTGAGGTTGTATCAAAATTGGGGATCCCACGTTATAGGAAGACAACACATCACACAGGAGAGCAAGCAGAAGCTCAGAGTGAAAATGTTTGTCTGCAATATACAAAACAAAAACGCAGATGTGCACCATATATGTACACTGGGTATAAAGTATATGTATGTGGTCCTAGAATCAGCTCATTACATTGATGTTATCATACTGATATTGCCCAGTATACAGTGGATTTCATGTGCATGTTTCTTCACTTTGCGCCATAGGAATGGTTGCGCCAGAACTGTGACATCTACACGATGAAAGCTACTGAAACCACCTGCGATTGATGTTCTTTCATGATTTGCATAACATGATTTGTCTCTTATTGAAAATATATGGAATGGAAATATGGATACGGACAATCAAATCAGTAGATGACTGACACAGCACCCCAGATTCTTTCAAGAAATCTACCATAAACATGTTTTAAAAAACTTCTTTATCTCTCTTACCAATATGTACTTTGATTTGCAGTTCGTTCTTTCTCATATCTGCGGATCTGCTCAAAGATATATCTGGGGGAAATGCAGCCACAAGCAAGCCTGTAATACAGTAATACTGCTAGTCATAAATCATTACCCTGAATTGCTAAAAGGCAAAATATATCTCTCTCTCTTTCTCTCAGTGAAAAATTACCAGTTAATCTTTATCACACTGAATGGGCAGAAACAACATAGCACTCTGACAATACACGCTGCCTTATGTTACAATGCTACAGAGCTGTAGCTGAGTCCAGACTATTCATGCTTTGCAGGATAAAGTATGATTAATGGCATTTTGGGTTTTATTTAAAGCAGATCTTCACCCCCGCCCCCATTTTCTTTAACCTCTGTTTGATAGGGTGCGGGTTCGGATACTCACCCACCAAGTAGATCCTGTATCCTGCTGAGATGCTCTTCTCTTCTGCCACTGATTGGTTCCTGTCAGGGGCAGACTGACAACTCATGGGGCCCTGGGCAATAGGGGATCATGGGGCCCCTGTGTCCTTGCCCAAACTCAAAAAAGCCTATGAAAAAGGTACCAGGGGCATCTCATGGGGCCCCCTATTGATCCCGGGCCCTCGGGCAGTGCCCTAGTTTCCAAATGGTCAGTCCACCCCTGGTTCCTGTGCCATTAGTTCTTGTGTGACATCATCAGCAGGTTGCCAGGCTCTTCCAGACTCAGCCGGCAGGCCTCCCTCAGAATATGTGACAAGCATATCCCAGGAGGCACAGTCCACGTCATTTGCCTATGTGATTGACGTGCATGGGGGGCAGGAAAGAAAAGAAAAAGGAAGAGGAAGGGGGTGGAGAGAAGGAAAGTATTTTTTTTTTTAGGGTGAAGATCCGCTTTAATCCCTTCTTTGTTCCCAGAACATCAGCTAAGACAACCACTAAATCATCACAGGCATTTTGCTCTTCAATCTAAACGTGGAACCCCAACAGGGAAATTCCACAGGAGTTAGACTTTTCCAGGAGTGCTGCTGGAGTTCCAATTCATCTATTCAAGTAGGAACCGGCCCGCAGCTCACTGGAGTTTAAAAAAAGCAGGAGTTCAGAGTTGAGGTTAGTGATTAGTTTGGAGGTCACCAAAGCTCATCTCTAATCAGTAAGCTCTATAAAGAGGATAATATCTCAATACATTTGGCATGGTCTACTAACACAACAGAATCAAGAAAATCTAACTGTTCTTGGTGATGGAAGCGTGCAACGAAATTACATTAAGGTTTAATTCGTATTAACACAGTATAAATAGCATAGCATAAATCTGGTGGAAGAACAAAAAAAATCTGTGTGCTTTAATTCTCTCCCGGCTGGGGGATCCACCATAAAATCTACTAACAGGAATGAGGGCTAACTTTATTAAACAAGCTCATATACATTGCTATGCCCAGGCTACTGTGACCATCTATAGGGCTTCTGTGGGCTCTGGAAACTATGTAATGCTTTATTTTCGTGGAAGGGAAAATGCTTATACCATATAAGCATTCTTCCAACTTACCACCAGTGTAATGGAGCCCTTCTCCCAATGACAACTTATGTCAGGGTGTCCTTTCACTGGCTCCCAATGTAAGGGGGCACTTTTCCAATTGCCACCAGTGTGGAGGAACATTAATATTTTTGCTAGTTGTTTTTATTATTAACTGTAATATTTCTATTATTTGTTTTTGCTATAGTATAACAAATATATCTATCATGTACTGCAAGTAAATTAAAATTATAATAATTTTACCACCATATGGTGGAACAGAAAAATATTGGTATACATACCATGGAGCAAATTTGGTTGAATAATCCATTCCTATTAGTCCATTTCGTGTATCTTTATAGGAAGCTACAAGATTCTGTACAAAGGTAGAAGTCAAATTAGAAATCTGGGGCTCCTTCTGAAAGCAAACTATATGTATCTGAATTTAAAGGCAAGTTTCAAAGTACATAAAGCATCATTGTCAGCTATGTACTGTCATGATAGTAATAAAGCTGGTAAATCCTAATATGGTCAATAATAAAGCCAATACTAGTAAACTAGTAGCTGACCACACATGGACTGATCTTGTTATATACACCAATGGCATGTCCACCTGTTGCCCACCTCATCTGGCTGAACACTTCTACATCCCTGGAGACTGCTAGGACAGAAAACAAATGCAGGATAAATTCAGATAAGATCATTGTGGTCATTCCATCTATGCTTATTTATCATGCCTTGACAATTTTTCATAGGAGGGTTGATGGGTGTAATACCATCATTTTAACTAATATAGGTCTGTTCAAACCTATACTTGTACATTACAGGACACACTAAAGAGAACAGCCCGTCACACAGCAGTGTTCTTCCTGAAGGGCTTAAAAACCAGCAGCACCTTACAAGCACAACAGTTTACTATGGATTATGGACTTAAGGGCTTGAAGATGAAGATTGAAGAAGTTCTGTAGCGCAGACCATAGAAGAAGCGTCTCTTTCTCTGTAGACGTTAGTGAAGCTGGCTTAGTCACCAAAATAAGGATTATCCACGACGCTTAGAAACATTTTATAGTGCAAGCTCACCTTTTCAGAAAAAATTATAAGGTGAACTAACATTCTACACCCCTCCACCCGGTCCCTGCTTTATTTACCTCAGTGGGTGATAAGCAGTCAGTGCTCATACAGCCGGTGTAGCAGTCCAAGGATTTCAAATCCCAGCTCTTCTTTCTGTAGGGCTTCTGGGATGGATCAGAGCGATTATAATTGGTCCGTGTCAACACATTACTGCTTTGACCAATCGGAATCACTCTGGTCCTGGAAGCCCTGTGAAGAACAGAAGGAAGTTAAAATTCCTGGACCACTACACCAGCTGTGTTTGCTCACTGACAGCTCATCACCCACAGAGGTAAGTATAGCGGGGACAAGGGGGGTGGGGGCAGTGTAGGTTGTTCGTTCCCCATTTAATTTTTTTCTGGCAAGTTGAACTAACTAAATCATATCTAAACTCAAGAACAAAAATGTATTAGCAGCTTAATGGTTCTTAGATGTAGTGGCTGCATTAGTTTTTTTTTTTTTTTTGCAGGCTTTTTTAGCCTTTATTTTCACCTGCTGATTTTACCACAGGGAAATTAAGTTACATCCCTGGTGAGTACATGACAGTTCTGTGGCATAGAACCACCATGTCAGACAGGTCATAGAGCCTATGTGACTACAGAATTACACTGCTCAAAGCTTCACTCTCCTCACTAGCAATCAAGTGCCTACAAATCCTGAGACATATGCTTTAATGTGTGTGACAGAGTTTCTTAGATTTTAATGTTTCAATCTTATATGGGGTATGTGAGGAAATCTGCCAGCAGGTTTGTTTCTATCCAGACTTCAGCATTAAGCTGAGTTCAAAAAGAACCCATAACACTGAATAATTGCATAACATGTATAGGAGGTCAGTGGAGTCATCAGCACTTACTGTATCCCAGAAATAATAATCCAATCTCTGTAAGGCCTGGGATTCACCTCCACTGCAAGGAAATGCTGTTCTTGGATCGCTTAAAGGATCTAGGAGACGTGAAGAAAATAAAAAGCAAAGCAATTATATATTTAATGAATTATAATGATCAAAGTGAAATTCAGTAATTTATGAATACTGGTGTGATAGCGACTGCATACATCATTCAAGTCCATTGCCAAGATCCCTCAGCTTTCTCCCTGCAATCACTCTCAGCCTGAACCTGGCTGTTAAATTCATTCTGCTGTAACCTCTAACACAGTAAAAAAAGGTTTAGTAGGGAAGGCTTCTTTAACTGTTGAAATGTCAAAGGAAGGGAGTAGTGCCTGATTAGAATGCCAGTGAGAAAATTATATGGCATTAACTATCAGTTTAATGTGGTCCTTCCATAAGGGTGCATTATACAAATCTCTATAAATACCACTTACAGTGGTTTGTTCATATTATTAAATAAGCATCAATATGTAAATTACACTAGTGACAGTAATCTATAGTTGGGAAGATACTGGAGAGTTTAATAAAAGACCACATAGATGACTTCTTGTCGGAAAAAAATTATTTAAGCAACAGACAGCATGGATTCATGAAAGACAGAAGTTGTCAAGCAAATCTGACTTCTTTTTATGAGGTGAACAAAACCTTAGACAGAGGGGTGGCGGTGGACGTGGTATACTTGGATTTTGCAAAAGCGTTTGACACAGTTCCCCACACACTGCTAATGTGTAAAGCGAAATCTACAGGCTTGGAAAAATCTGTATGTAAATGGATGAAAAACTGGCTAAAAGATCATATTAAAGAGAGAGTAGAGGTTAAGGATTCATGCTCTGAATGGTCTAGGGTTGTCGGTGGTGTACCCCAAGGTTCAGTGTTGGGACCCTTATTTTTTATTATATTTATAAACTATACAGGGTCTGAGATTAAAAATCCCATTTCAGTCTTTGCAGATGACACCAAGCTGTGCAGTGGAATAACGTCCTTACAGGATGTCTCCAATTTACAAGCCAAACTCAATGCACTGTTTAATTTGGCAACTATGTGGCAAATGAGGTTTAATGTTGATAAATGTAAGATTATGCACTTGGGGGATAAGAACATGCATGCATCATACATACTAGGGGGGGTACAACGGGGGGAATCAATGGTGGAGAAGAATCTGGGAGTTCTGGTAGATCACAGGCTTAATAATGGCATGGAATGCTAAGCTGCAGTTTCTAAAGCGAGCAAAAGAGGTATAGACTCCAGAGAGAGAGATATCGTTTTACCCCAAACAAATCATTAGTAAGACCTCATCTGGAATATCAGTTCAATTTTGGGCACCAATTCTCAAAAAGAACATTGGAGAACTGGAGGAAAAGAAATGTAATCTCCAAATACAGAAAGGTTCTTCAAAGTAAGAGCTGTGAAAATGTAGAATAGACTCCATCAAGAGTTGGGTCTGGCCAGCTCAGTGGATTGCTTTAAAAAAGGTCTGGATTCTTTTTGGATACACAGAATATAACTGGATACTAACATTTTTAGGTAAAGTTGATCCAGGGAATATCCGATTGCCTCTCGGGGGATCAGGAAGGAATTTTTTTCCCTGTAGGAGCAAATTGGTTCATGCTTTACTGGGTATTTTTGCCTTCCTCTGGATCAACTGTGGGTGTAGGATTATAACTTTTTTTTTTTATGGTTGAACTGGATGGACTTTTGTCTTTTTTCAGCCAGACTAACTATGTAATCACATGATATAGGGGGTTCTTACCTTGCTGCCCAAAATCTTCTAGTGTTGGGACAGAACCCTCCTCAAGGCCTGCTGGTAAAGGTTTCAATTGCTCTGGCATCTGATTGGTAGGCCGCACTTTGCATTGTGTTTCTACTGCTTTTCTGAACTGGGTGTAGATGTCAGGTAAACTGTAAACACAGGAAGGTATAATACCTAAAGTGAAACTGAATCTGAGCACCACAAACTGAAAAAAACAGTATATAATGAATTTTAAGGCAAACTAGCCCATCCATCCATGTCTCCATGCTTTATTTTGTTGTGAAATCACTTTGAAAAAGACCCCTAGCATTTCTATCTACAGCCATATTGAGTAAGGGCAGATAATTCATGTAGCATTTGCTTCATGGAAACAGCCTGCCCATACTGTTATGGCGCCCTAGAAAATCTTGCACAGGCGCAATACAATATATTTAAAACAAGTAACTATAATATACCTTATATTTACTAAGGTTATAAACATAAGGATTGTTGTTGATTACGAGAGTAAAGTTCTGCTTTAGGGCATTTTACATGCAGTTTTAAAGCCCAACTGAAGGTACATAAATAGATATGCTGTAGAAAGACATTGTACTTAAAACTTCATGTTCTTGGTCTTACTCCCTCTATCTTGTTCGATTGTGCAGGGTGTCTAGCTGTGACTGTCCAGTGAAATAGGCAACATATTTAGGCCCAGTAAACTCATCATTCAATATTAAATATAGTCTATTACACCAGGGCTTGAAAAGCCACTCGCCCGCTTGCCAAATGCGAGGAGAAATTCCTCTGTGGCGAGCAGAGATGAAGCATGGAGTGACTGAGCCTGCGCTCCAAGCCTCATTGTGAAGCCGAGTTTCAGTTTACAACTTCCGGTTTCCGGCTTCTGCGGCACCGCCGCCAAGGGGACAGGTGCAGCAGAGGTCCGCTCTCCTCCGCTGAGAGGAGACACCCTCTCCACTGCCGTGGGGGATTCGGGGGGGGGGCAGTAAGTACTGTATACATCATGTCCTATCACTATAATGGAGTACAGGGGAGCTGGGATATACACTACTCAGTAAGGTATATCCCAGCTCCCCTCTACTCCATTATAGTGTAATGACCTGTATACAGTAATGTATATCCCAGCTCCCCTGTACTCCATTATAGTGATATGACATGTATACAGTAATGTATATCCCAGCTCCCCTGTACTCCATTATAGTGATATGACATGTATACAGTAATGTATATCCCAGCTCCCCTGTACTCCATTATAGTGATATGACATGTATACAGTAATGTATATCCCAGCTCCCCTGTACTCCATTACAGTGATATGACATGTACACAGTAATGTATATCCCAGCTCCCCTGTACTCCATTATAGTGATATGACATGTACACAGTAATGTATATCCCACTCCCCTGTACTCCATTATAGTGATATGACATGTATACAGTAATGTATATCCCAGCTCCCCTGTACTCCATTATAGTGATGACATGTATACAGTAATGTATATCCCAGCTCCCCTGTACTCCATTATAGTGATATGACATGTATACAGTAATGATTACTGTATACATCTCATATCACTATAATGAAGTACAGGGGAGGGGGGATATACATACTGTATACATGTCATATCACTATAATGGAGTACAGGGAACTGGGATACACATACTGTATACATGTCATATCACTATAATGGATTACAGGGGAGCTGGGATATACATACTGTATACATGTCATATCACTATAATGGAGTACAGGGGAGCTGGGATATACATACTGTATACATGTCACATCACCATAATGGAGTACAGGGGTGCTGGGATATACATAACTGTGTACAGTTTTATATTTTGGACTATTTATTCTAAAGAAAAATGTAATTTCATAACCTTTAAGGGGGCGTGGTTGGGGGGTGGGGGCGGACTGGGGGTGGGGTTGGGGGCAGACCTGGGCAAGGTTGGGTGGGGCAACTGGTGGAGAGTAAGTTTTTTGTGACCGGCTAGCAGGCCTGGACTCAAAATTTTAAACCCCTGTATTACACAACCAGATCTTGATCTGCAACACATGCATTGTGCTAAATGGTGCGCTGTTTTTTTGTTTTTGTTTTTTTTAACTCTGCCAGCACAGAGCACTGAAGTGTGTGGACTAGAAATCACATTTTAACTGTCATCATTTATAACACGCTGTCAGTTATTATCTATCAGACTGTAAAAAGAAACAAACTAAATACACAACTTTAGTGGGCTTCACAGTTGGAACTGAAAAATGAGAGCACTACTTACTAACTGGAGAGCTCTAGCTCAGACTCAGCAGGGGCCTGTTGGACCTCTGCAGAGAGATCACTGCAGAGCAAGAGCTCTTCTTTACAGCATGCTGGCAGGGACCAGGTTTTTCTTCTAAGGATGTGACGGTTTTCTAAAGACAATTAACAAAAGGACTATGGACCAGTAGATACATTATATCAGCATCATCGTCTAGAAGAGGTGAAAGGCCTAGGGGGCATGAAAAGGATTTTTCTCAGGGGTATATTTGTCAATGATTTCACATAAAATGTACTCATTTTCACAAAAGATTAGATGCAAGAGAAGACAAAAAAAAAAAAGAGTGAACCTTGGGTAAGAGCTGTGTGAATTTTGGTTAAAAAGAATTGATTAATAAACCAGTTAGTGTCCAACCACCTACAGTATATCCTGTGTAATCCAGTGAATAACAGAAAATAGAAAAAGGGACATACAATTTACACATATAGAGTAAAAGGTGTTTTTTTTTTTAATAGGATCCAGGTCCCAGTTGTAGTCTTTAAATCAACTAGTTGCCAACCGCAGGTAGCGGAATGACAGCTGCACTGAGGCCGACAAGTTCTGGGAGGCCGTCATATGATATCCTCTCAGAACGCGCTCTCCTGCATGCACCCAGCGATCTCAGTGATCACTGTGTCCCCTGGACACAGCTGATCAGGTGATGTGGTAAAAGGCCAATCACAGCAGCCTTTTATCAGGTGATCAGCCGTGTCCAATGACATGCTGATCACCAGGAAATGCAATTGCCGGTTCACGGCTGCACTTTCCTCACGCTGTCAGAGCGTGAGGAAAGTATTGCCAAGAGCCGGCAGTTGTCAGAGCAGGGATCGGCACCGATCATCAGGGCACTGATGATCAGTGCCCTGATGATCGGTGCCCAGCAGTGCCGCCCACCTGTGCCACCAGTGCCGCCCAGCAGTGCCACTAGTCAGTGCCGATCAGTGCTGCCGATCAGTTATGCCCATTAGTGCAGCCTCATCAACGCACATCAGCGAAGGAGAAATATTACCGGTTTGCAAAATGTTATAATAGAAACAAAGAAACTTTTTTTTTTTTAATTTTTTGCTCTTTTTTTGTTTATAGTGCAAAAAATAAAAACACCCAGCAGTGAGTAAATACCACCAAAAGAAAGCTCTATTTCTGGGGGAAAAAATTATAAAAATTTCATATGAGTACAATGTTGCATGACCGGACAATTGTCATTTAAAGTGCGACAGCGTTGAAAGCTGAAAATTGGCCTAGTAAGGAAGGGGGTATAAGTGCCCAGTAGGCAAGTGGTTAATAAGATAAGCTACAAAGAATATAACATATACTGAGAGACTTACTGGGTAGAAAAATATCTGGTTCCGAATATGATATAGGAGCAATTTTTCAGGATTTTACTACCTAGGTAAGTTAGAAATCTTTGCACAGAAGTAAGATCAAAGTGGATATAAAAAGTTGAGATGTAAAAAAAAAAAAAAAAAAAAAAAAAAAAAAAAATCAGACCAAGATAAATCACTTTTGAAATTTCTCCACCTTTAATGTGACCTATAATATGTGCAATTCAAAACAAACTGAAATCTTTAAAAGGGGAAAAAGTAAAACATAAAAACTAATGTGGTATGCACACCCTAAACTAATACTTTGTTACAGCACCTTTTGATTTTATGGCTGGCTGGGCCATTCCAAAACTTTGATATACCTCTGGTGAACTTACGTTTGGGTCTTTGTCGCAATGAAAGGTGAAATTCCTCTTCATCTCCTTAGAGGGCCTGAAGATTTTGTACCAAAATATTTCTGTTCATAAGTCCACCTTAAAACCCCAAATCAATCTGAATTAAAAATAGCCCCAAAGTATAATGCTGCACCACCGTGCTTCACTGTGGGTATGGTGTTTTTTTTTGGTGATGCACAGTGTAGGTTTTACGTCAAACATACTCTTTGCAATTATGGCCTCATAGTTCAACGTTGGTCTCATCAGGTCATAATACATTTTCCCACACAATTTTGGCAGACTTGATGTAGATTTTTGCAAACTACCTGGCTTGATTGTTTTTCTAATTATGAAAGGCTTTTATTTTGACACTCTACCCCACAGCCCAGACACATGAAGAACATGGGAGATTGTTGTCACATGTAGTACACAAAAAGTACTAGCAAGAAATTTCTGCACCCCCTTTGATCAAGGTTCACACATATGCGGTGTGGGAAACGCAGTGATCCCTGCGCGTTTCCCACACCAAACTGCAATAGTACTGTGTCTGCAATCCGCTTCATGTGTCAATACAAAGTTAATGACACCCCGAATGCATCACAATCGCAGTGCAGGTTGCCTGCACCGGATCGCATGGTACAAAAGAACCATGCAATGCGTTTGCTGTGCAGCTCCAAAAAGGTGCCTGCACTTCTTTGGGTGATGAGGTGCAATTTGAGACCACTCAAAGTGGATGGGCTCAAACTGCAGTGCACTGAATCACTATTGAATTGCACAGATATGCGGTGCAAATTCACATGCGGTCCATAGTGTAAACCGGGCCTGAATGTTGCTGCAGGTCTCATGGCAGTCTCCGGACCAGTTTTCTTTTTTTATTTAGGATCCTTTTCAAAGTTACTGCGACTTAAAGTTACATAGATCTGAATGGGTGCCATTGAAATCAATGGGCTGCGATCTGTCATGCAACTTTAGGTGTTCAAAGTTGCATGACAAGTCACTCAAGTGTGAATGGAGCTTTAATTAATTTTGGAGAAACATCCGGTTTTGGTAATGTTACTGTTGTGCCACATTTTCTCCACTTGTTGATGAATATCTTCACGGTGTCCCATGGTATACCTAATGCCTTTGAATTTTTTTTACCTTCTCCTGAGTGATACCTTCCAACTATGAGATTCCTTTGATACTTTATAAGCTCTTTTGTAGATCATGTTTTTTTGCTGTGAGAGGCAACTGAGTAATGCCCCATACACACGATAACAAGATCGTCCGAAAAATTTTGGGGAACCACTGATTGAACGATTTTCTCTTCGTTGATGAGCAGGATGTTTTAACCGTGAACAAAAAAATCCAGTTGAACAACAGTGAAAAATGTTGTTTCGCATACGAACGACCGATTTGCTATGCGGTGGTATGACGGTCGTACGAAAAATATCTATCAAGCGCTATCACGCATGAGCGGAAACAGAAGATGACCCGGATGTTTATGTCCAAGGAATCTTCGTAAGCAAGAACGAAAAATCCAAATGTTAAAAGTAGATTGGCCTAATGAGATAATGAAACCGGAATTCTGCATATTATATTTTATGTATCACTATTTATGTATATAGCTCATGTAATAAACTAAATTATGCTCATTGCTGTGAATTGTTGTGTATATCGTTCGTTCTGGCCAGAAGGGTGTGGCTACAAGGTCACACGCACACTGCATCACTTGTACGGAAGACGTCAACACTACGTATTGCCCCACAAACAATTTTTTTAGATTGGTTAATGTGGGCCACGATTTCAACCAACAAACGAACGCCTCTTGGTCGTCAGATGACCGATCGGTCGATTTTCTAATCGTGTATTCCCACCTTAAAGGCCCCATTCACACCTGAGTGTTTTTCAGCTCAAAACTCAACAAGGAAAATCCCATTCATTTCAATAGCCCCTATTCACATTTGAGCATTTTGTTGCCTGTAGCAAAACACCTGTCAATCAAAAAAGTACATGCGCTACTTTTCAGTCAGATTTGAGCATTTTCCATTCGACAAAGATTTCTAAACAGCAAGAAATTAGCAATTTTTTTTCAAGCGTTTTTAGCTCAAACAGCAGCACCTCTCCCCTTTTACAGCATCACTCCCCAACTTATAAACACACATCTTGAGATCAAAATGGAGGAGAGCTTGCTGCTGGAAGATCAGACATTCATTTCTCCTATTTGTGGCCACCCATGCATCTATGATCTGAGGGATCCCCATTATAGGAGCCAGACAACAACCACCAGAGCCAGGGATGAAGTTGGAAGAAGCTTGCTGCCACACTGGAACAGCTACACTGCTCCCCAGATCAAGCAGAAAGGTACAGAACTTCTGAGAACAGCAGCCACGTCCTCGATTCTGGTTTTTTCCGATGTATGTGCCTAGGACATATCTACACAGGTTTGTACTGGCCATAGCAAAAACACCTAAAAAAACCACTATAATATTTGCAAATCTGATAAAAAAAAAGCTAAAAAATGTCTGAAAGTATGCCTGAAAATATCCACGCTCAATGTGTAGCCTAAATGTCAGAAAAATCCTATTGAACAGTCAACCTTCATATGGGCTCTATCATAGTCACATTTATTGATGGCAAGTGTATACTGACTACTATTTAACATCATTATGAATGCGACTGATTAAAGTAGAACTTTTTTTTCCATTTTGCATACAGAAAGAGAAGGTTATAACCCGTCAACATTTTTTTTTTCGCCATCTGTGTCTCATTACAGAGATTTACCTTCACTTCCTGTCCCATAGGAAGTGAAAGGAAATCCTTGCAAATTAAGGAAATTACTGTCCCCATCATCAGGATTACTTTTCTGGGGACAACCCAAAATTTGGGATTTTCTTTCACTTTCAATGACAAAGTTAAACAGGATAAATAGAGAGGGTGGATCTCCCTAATGGGGGCACAGACAGGAATAAAAACTGACAGGGGGTTCTAATCCCACTACACTCCATCAAAATCTTAAATAAAAATATAAAAAGGCTTTGCCTTTAGGTATATTTTAATTTTGAACACTGCCACATCCCTAATTAAAGCAGATGTGTTCACCTATGCAACCAAATTAATTTTATATTTTTATTTCACCAAACGAAAAAAAATTAGTTTGTTTTTAATTGAAGTGCACAGATTATAGGTCACATTAGAGGTGGAAAAAATCTGAAGTGATTTACTTTGGTCTGATTTTTTTTTCTGCTCAAAAACCTGGCATGTTTACAGGTATATGTAGACATTTATATACACTGTACATTCTACAAGACAACTTCCACTTGACATGAAGGTAAGTGACTTATTTGGATCCCTGTAGCCCACTAGACCAATGGCAGTTCTTCAGGGACATAAGTAACTGTTTGTATGTGTAGCAAGTCCCCAGGTAGCAACAAGCACATACTGCACTGTAATTTCCAAAAGGGTGGATGATGACAATGCAAAGAGGAAAACAGATGTAAAAAAGTAATTTCAGCATTTGGAGATGATCCTACAAATGACACCAGTACCTGGAGATGTGCCTGAATGGGAGATCATCGCGGTGGTACAACGTGGACCCCCAGATTAAATGGACTTTTACCCCATGACGAGTACAGACTTGTTTTATGGACTTTTCAACATCAAGCTCTTCCTTTGTTGCCTGAAAAAAACAGATGGCGAATGTAGACAGGAATCAAATTCTATGCAGACAGGGTAACCTAAAAATTTGACCTGAGTCAATTAAATGCAGCTAAACTTTTATGGTGTATTCCTGCATAACTAGCTTTGTGTAAACCTCTTACTTTGTCAACAGATTTATCCAAAAAGTCCTTCAGCCAGATACAGTACATTAAATATGAAGGTCGTAGTTCATGTTATCATGAACTGGTGCTCCTTACCCCTTCTGTGGCTTGCTATGTGGGCTCTCGTTCGGCTTGAACTCATGGCTTGGCCCTGGCCCATGCTCACTGGCTGTGATTGACAACAGCAGGAGCCAATGGCTCCCACTGCTGCCTCTCTGTCCAGTGAGGAGAGAGAGCTGCTGCTCTCAGGCACAACACTGGATTGAGATCGTGGTAAGGTAAGTATAATGGGGAAAACAAAAAACCCAAATACTCCTGCGCTTGGGGATGGACTCCTGGATTTCCAACAGCCTAATGAGGTTTGAGGACTTGGTTGGCTCTGAGGAAAAGGCAATTCCTCGAAACGCGTTAGACTGTTGGAAGGCCAGGATTCCCATTGCAGATGGACATGTAGTGTGCATTGGACAGTGCTGTTCTTTATGATGTGCCTTTGACATTTATGAGTAGGGCACCTATTTTTATTATTTCATTAAACGTTTTTGCCGGTAATGCACTTGGCCGGTGCGCCGTCTGTTTGTTTTCTTTATATCAAGCATAATGGGGGGCTGGGGTGAGGGACCACTTTATTAACTTAAATAAGGGTGGCAGGTAGGTAGTTGAGGATTACATCAATGCAAAGACCTAGTTCACTTGTTTCCTGAGTGTGGAGAGCTACTTTTTAATTTACATATAAACATGAAAGTGATCAACTTATAACTATGTTGCCAGTATAATAATGCATTAACATTTACCTTCTTTCTGTATACACTTTGCAGTGAAAAAGTAAATAAAGTTCAAGGTGTGACGGGCGCGGCGTCAGAGCTGGGGGAGCCCTTTTCACCAACTTGTGACCGAAGGACTAGCTAATCTAAAACCGCGCTGTCATGTGCGCAACAATGCCACGCTCAGCTGCAACCTGCACAAAGATTTTCCAGCTCACTGGACCACAATCTATGTGCCGCAGCCTGAGAGCGATTGTTACTGGGTCAGGTTAATTACGCATTTAACCCCTCACACTGCCACCACCGCCTTTTTGTACAGAGAAGGAGGAAACTCGCCAATCTTAGCAGTAACACTATGATGTTTGAATAAGCGTCTGTATACACACTGTCACCGCAGGCAGATGTATGCAGAAGTTTAAAATACACAGTAGTGCAGGGATTCTTAATTTGCATTAAAGAGCTTTAGAAACAGTTCAACACTTTTTAGAAAATAGGATTCATTACTAAAAATGTCAAAATGGTGCAATAAAAATATTTACAGAAAAAGATTTAGCCAATATATATATATATATATATATATATATATATATATATATATAATATAAATACAGAGAGCAATAACACAGCAGAGAGATAACAGAAAGAAGTTTAGAAAGGTAGAATACTTGCCAGAGTACTTGGTTTAAGCAGATTCAAGTGTCCTGAACAAAAGGGTACCGTTTCTCCCAATGTTGGTTGCTGATGTTAAATGAGAAAATCTCTTCATCTTACCTCTCTCCAGGCATGACAGCTTTTTGTAGGGTCCCAGCAGGGGGTGTCTCTGAAGCCAAGGGCCAATCGCCTCATGTGGGGAGGGGTTTTAGGCAGAGACCCTGGCTGTGACCCAAATCCCTCCCAAGTTTATACCAGGGTAGGATAATATGCAGAATGATATTCTGAACGTCCAGGCACCAGATATGGCATATCTGCTTGGGACGGTTAAAGAGATATCGCTTTCTGCTCTCAGGTAGATGTAATCTAGGGATGTAAGGATCAGGTGACTTGTATTAAAATTACCTCTCTGAATATATGCTTTGTTTCATTGTACGTATCTCCTGCGAGAAGTTATGAAAGTGTATGAAAAAGTGGTTTTCCAAATGAGATATATGTTTTACTGCTATTCCGGAATGCTTTCAAGTCCAGTGACTGGCGGGTTTATAGCTTTACGAGCAGCTCAGATCAAGAGTCGGACAGACACCATGGCATCAGCTAATTGGGTTTACAACCATGAAGTGTATCCCGCTGTGCCTGATGCAATCCTGAACTCAGCACACACCAGACCACCTGCCATTCAACAGAAAGGGGAGGGGGGCTGATTTGGAGTGAGAATGACACAAGATGGAGGATCTTTAGCAAAATGGATGTTCGCGTCCATATTTGTATGTACAATTGCTACACAAGGTAGCAACCAAATTTGCTCTGCTTTGCACAGGGGTTGTTTTCTGTATTACGATGTAATGCTACAAGTCAGCTGACTAAATGAGCCGGTGTGGCTGATACTCAACAGTTTAAGCAGACTGGCACAGTAAAGCCCCTTTCACATGGGCGATCTGATTAGGTCCACACAGGTCAGTGCAATCCTATGAACAGGTGGGTGTAAAGGGACTTGTGTCCACTGTATCCAATCCGGTCTGCCATTACCAAAAGGAAAAAGAGAAAAACAAAAAAAAAGAAAGGGGATCCATCCTCATCTGTTTCGGCAGACTGCATTAGAGGGCGGTCGTAGCTATGGTCTTTTGGTGCTGTGAAGGGTATTACGATTGTCTCCACCTGACACAAGCACTCATCAACAGTGCCGACTATGCCTGTCATTTCTATGCCCATTTATAAAAGCTGTACTCTCAGTTCCCAGAATGAAAAACAAACACTCTATGAATGAAAGTTCCCCTTCCATTATTGGAGCACCTGGCAGCTCTAGCTACTCAAAGACATGGCCCATTCACAGAATACCGGTGTAAGTGCCCATGTGAATGAGGCATAATGCACTATGTAACATGTTGGTTAAATATAAATATAACTATTAATAATAATAATTTTTACTGAATAACTATTGGACTTTCTTTTTAGATGAGCAGGAAAAAACTTGGAATAAATCAAACAAGTATGCTAGTAGTTTATTAGTGACACATACTTCTTCTTGGAAAGCAACAGCAGAAACTGGACCCAACTGCTTGATTAGATCTTCAATTATATCTTCCGGGTGACCTCTTTTCAATAGCAGATTGCTGTATGAATAAACAGAAAATATATAAGTGGAAAATTCACGTAGAATTAAGAGATGCAAGTAGGGTATCGGCTGGGCACAAAACATTTAGAATCCAGCTATCATTTTTGAATATACTAAAGATGAATTCCAGGAATTATATATATTTTACATAGTTACATTGGTCCAGCTTGGACCGAACTATGCATATATCATACCTGGCCAATGTACCTGGAAACTGAAAAGCATTCTCCGATTGGACAAGGTGGACAGCATAACGTCACCATCCCGCCTCTCCACCTTTATATTCAAGGAACACTTTACATTAATTCAGAAAATGCAAAGCATTCTCTGAATGGTGCTCATGCCCAGCAGTCAACCGCCTGTGTCCAAAATGCATCAGGCCGGACTCTCAGCACGGACCCAGAAACTAGTGGAGATCACTGGAGTAGCAGTGTCTACGTCAGTGATTTCCAGCTTACAGGGGCATCTATAGCATATACAAAGTTAAATCAGTCCAAGCTGGACCAATGTAACAGTAAAAATATACCAAAACCTGGAATTCATTTTTAAGCTGGCCATACTCCAGCACATTCCTCCATCCACGCTATACAATGCAGATGGACTAATCTCTCACTGTGCCTACTGTATTTTGACAGCCACTCCAACCAGTTGTGAAAATACCTGAACAGTAACTGCATCTGAATGGATGCTGCTACTTTTCGTCTGTCAATGTACCACCTGGCTCCTTCAATTTTTCAGTTAAGGGATGTCATGCAAAAGGCAGCTGACAAGGCCACCCAGTGAGGGAATTTCATCTGCTTCTCCAGGGGATGGTCTAAATTTGTATATTGTATGGCCACTTTTGGACAATGGACACCAACTGTTTTTGGCAAAATCCCTATTTTTTCTGTCTGCCAGATAAAAACTAATGTCAATTAATAAGCCGGCAAATAAAGAGTTATCATACCTTCCTCTTTTCTTCAAAGTGTTCTGTAAGTCTTGCACACTCTCTAAAAGGAATTTCAACCGATGAGGCCCAGTCTTTGGAAAATTGTAGTGATGTGTCCCCAGGTAGTGTCTCGGGTCAAAGCAATACAAAGGGACGATATAATCAGCATTTCTGTGTGCCCACAACAGTACCTACAGCACAAAGAGAAGTAACAAAGGGCTATACCCACTGGTCCATCAAAATACATTAAACACTGTACATTATTCACATAGCTAAAGGTTGTATACATTCGTTATTACGTTTCTATAAGAGTCCATTCACACTTGTGCGACTTCAAAATCCTGCAATTTTCATTGCGACTTTACAGTGCGACTTTATGCGACTTTGGATGAGTGTGACTTTTTCTTTTCTTTGGAGGGTTTACATTGAAGTCTATGGCCCTCAAGTCACATGAAAGTCGTACCAAAGTAGTGCAAGAACTTCTTTGAAGTTGCACAGATATGAATGGTACCCATTGGGAAAATGGGGGTGACTTGTCATGCGACATTAGACCCCAAAGTCACATGACAAGTTGCATAAGTGTGAATGGGCTCTAAAATATAAAATGTACATACGGTACATTAATCTCCCCTCTGCATTGTAAAATATTTAATAAAAACTATTAGTAGTTGCACGGCATTCCTGTTGCACGGCTTTTCAAATTTACTTTGAATCTAGGATCCAGATAAAAAGTTATTGAAGTCTATAAGACGCGACCTCCCACTCAAGTCTACGGGGAGCGACCTCCCACTCAAGTCTACGGGGAGCGACCTCCCACTCAAGTCTACTCCCACTCAAGTCTACGGGGAGCGACCTCCCACTCAAGTCTACGGGGAGCGACCTCCCACTCTAGTCTACGGGGAGCGACCTCCCACTCTAGTCTACGGGGAGCGACCTCCCACTCTAGTCTACGGGGAGCGACCTCCCACTCTAGTCTACGGGGAGCGACCTCCCACTCTAGTCTACGGGGAGCGACCTCCCACTCTAACGGGGAGCGTCTACGGGGAGCGACCTCCCACTCAAGTCTACGGGGAGCGCGACCTCCCACTCAAGTCTATGGGGCGACCTCCCACTCGTCTATGGGGCGCGACCTCCCACTCAAGTCTACGGGATGCGACCTCCCACTCAAGTCAATTTCTAGTCTCCATTTTAACCTGGCGCCTGTAATTTGGCGAGCCTTGTCACTTACAATACACATATTACAAACTGGATGGAAAATCAGCCTTCATGCACACCCGACACTCATACATTATGCTAAGAGAAAGGCTCCCATCAGGGTCCTCTACAGGACAGTAGCAGCAAATAAGGTAAAATGCTACAGTCCATTTCAAAGGTGCACAGCAATATCTTCCCTGCTTCTGTAAGTGCATGCAGCTATTCCACTTAGCCCTGGTTCACACCAAATGCGATATCAAAGTGATGCAATTTGGTCCCATTTAAAGTGCGACTTCAAAGTAGTGCTGATATAGACACAGGTGTGATTTCAGTGCCATTTACCTTATGGTCTATGAGAGGTAAATCGCACTGAAGTGTTGAAAAAGAAATACAGAACTATTTCTCAAATTGCGCTACTTGAAATCGCACATATTGAGACAAATACAGAGAAATACATTAGATGCAACTTCAGGTTCGCTTTGTAAATCACATGTTGCACCTGAAGTCGCAGCAATGTGAACCAGGGCTTAAAGTGGAACTATGCCCTGCTATCCTTTTCAGCTAAGGAAGCTTCTATTTTAGCCTCTGTTTGATCTGCAACTGCCAAGGTGCTGCACATGTGATCAGTTATGAATCCAGCCATGTGACGGTTTGACAGTTTGGTTGACGGCACAAGCAAATGTGACAGCATTCCTGACATGCCGGGAATGTAACTTTTTTTAAAACTGTTAAATTGATGGGTTTAGCCCAGCTTTGATTAAAATAGAACTTTTCTTTTCAGTTTGGATAGAGTAGTACACACAGAATATAGGACAGATGATTGTCCATTTTTGTTTTTTTCTTGCATGCTAGTCTCCATATTGAAAATGAAGAAGTTACTCAACTTCTGAAAATTCTTGTACTACAGAATAGAATTTCGAAAGTGATGTCAGGTATTGTATTGTATTTTTGGACAACTACTGTACTGATTAACCACTTCAAGTCCGGACACTTTCACCCCATTCCTGCCCAGGCCAATTTTCAGCTTTCAGTGCTATCACACTTTGAATGACAATTGCGCGGTCATGCAACACTGTACCTGTATGAATTTTTTAGCATTTTTTTAAACAGATAAAACTTTATTTTGGTGGTATTTATTCACCACTGGATTTTTTATTTTCTTGCTGTATAAATGAAAATGTCCAAACATTTTGAAAAAAAACTGTTTTTCTTATAAAGTTTTGCAAATAATCTTTCTTCATAAATATTGGCCAAAATATATTCAGCTATTTTTTTTACTAAAAAAAACTAACCCAAATTAGTTATAACCAAAAATTATAATTTTTCCAAAAAAAAACTTCCATTTTTATTTTTTTTTTTATATTATTTATGTTTTTTTTTTTACCTACTGTCACCCTAGCAGTACAGTGTCACCAGTGACACTGTACTAATTGTGGGGGGGTGAAGATTTTTTTTTTTTTTACACTGATTGCTTTTACACTCACACAGGTTGTAAAAGCAATCATTTCTCCTTCTCTCTGGCTGCATTCTTGCAGCCATTGAAAAATACTGTGAGAGCTGTGATTGGTCACAGCTTGTCACATGGTACAAGGCTGTTGTGAATAGCCTTGTACTATGTGACCTCTGTGATCATTCACAGATTTCACTAGTAGTAAGCAATGATGTCAGGAAGTGACATCTTGCGTACTACTATTCAAGTGATCACGGATTGGCCAATCCGTGATCACATGATCGGGACCTCACACAGAGGTGTGTCCTCCAGACACAGCGGGCACTGGATCGTGGTGCCGTGCACTCCCAGGGAGCGCACACAGGCAGGGAATGCGGGAGGACGTTTATAAATTGCCACCCACTCCTGCACTGCTCCCTTCCGACCATTTATGTACATGGGCCGGACGGGAAGAGGTTAAACAAAAATCATACAATCTGGTATCGTATGAGAAAAATTCTTGTGCTTGTCCCTTTGGTTATTGTTGCATGAACTAGCATGATCAGCTCTCGAAAGCAGTATACTAACATTCAGATTATCATCATACGATCACTCCTCATACGACAATATTCGTATAAATTTCTTATAGTGTATGGGCCTTATGGATGTTGGGTGATTAGAACACCAGTGCCATTTGGGGAGATTCTTCTTTACTTCCTGTTTCATAGCCAAAACAGGAAATGAGAGGAAAGCCTTACAAAGTGTGGGGAATCCCTGGTTGTCACCAGAACTAGTGTCAGCATCTAAGATTTCCCCTCTATTACTGTGCTGGGACACCCCAAAGTTTAGGATTTTCTTGTGCTTTCAATGATAACAGTAAACAAAGTAAATAGAGAGGATGAATCTCTACAGACAGCAATAAAAACCTGACATGTTCTAATCCCTCTCCACTCTATTCAAAACTGAACTTTAATCATACTTTAAGGGCCCATTCACACCAGTAGCCACGCACAATGCATGCCTGCTGGTGTGTGCTCAGAGGAACTGTGCTGAAGCACTGTACTGTTTACTTTTTTTTTGTTATAACTTTATTGAAATGTCACAGGAGACATTAATTTAGTTTATTCACCACAGAAGTGTTGTAGCAAGCCAAACTAAAAAAGAAAAAAAAAAAAAAAAGGGGGGGGGGGGTAGTACTGCACACCACCAGATCATAACTTCACTGCAAACAAGGAAAATTGTCCTATCTTTGCACTGGAAATATGCTGGGTAAGGTTCTCTAGTGCAGTCCCATGCAAATGGTGTGAATGGGCCCCAATTATTTTGGGCCAGTGACTGGACATTTCCACCCATTCAGACTTGTGTGTAGAAAAAGTACCACCCTGCAGTCACACATATACCAGTGGGATACATATGATGCGGTTTCAGAGCAGCGAATGCCTCGTCCCCATATGATTGGCTTTGTGCAGTGATGGGATCACTCATCCCTGGTTGGAAGATATGACTATAAGCTAATGATCACATCTGATTCCACCAGACAACCTCATAATTTGAAAAAAAAAAAAACCACCCAAATCGTCTCAGTGCTGCTAGCCATAGCTGATTAACATAGAACTACAGGTGAAACATTTTCTTCCATTTTAGACAAAGTCAGGCTAGGTTCACACCTATACAGGTTGCGTTTGGGCCGTTTCTGCATTGTGTTTTGCGTTGTGTTTTTTTTTCTTTTTCTTGTTGCTAGGCAGATTTTAAACACAAAACGCATCAAAAACATGATACATACTTTTCCGCAACGTTTCCATTGAAGTCTATAGAAACACGAATGCAACTTTTTGTATTCAAAAAAAGTCCCTGACCCTTTCCAAAAAACACACCGGGTGAAAACACACAGATGCGAACATGTCCCTTAGGAAATTATGCTAAATGGACTGTACTGCGTTTCTGCAAAATGCTGCAGAAACCACTTAGGTGTGAACCTACGGTCAGGGAGGGTTCTAACCCGTCAGTTTATTTTTTCATCATGTGTCCCATTGTGGAGATTTACCATCATTTTCTATCCTATAGCCAAAACAGGAAGGGAGAGGAAATCCCTACAATTTAAGATGACCCCCAGGTCAACCAAAACTAGAGTCCTGATTGGAAGATTTCCCCTATTACTTTTCTGGGGAAAACTCAAAATCTGTGATTTTCTTTTACTTTGAGCCTGGGTTCACACTTGTGCGGTGCGGCATATCGCATGTGATTTGCACAGGAACCGCACTGCATTCCTGTGCAAATCTCATGCGATTTCTGTGCGGTGTGATTTGACCCATGCATTTTGTATGGCTCGAATTGCACCGCATCCGCACCATAAAGGTGCAGGACCGTTTTTTTTGGTCCGCATTAGAATCGAATAGTTATTCACACCCATGTGATCCGATTCTGCAAATCGCACTGCATTTTGCAGATCGATTTCGGGGTGTTGTTAACATACACACCCACAGTGGTGCGCATGAACAGAGTGCGATTGTGATGTGGAATTCACACAGAAACCGGTGCGAATTCTGCAACGCATCAGTGTGAGGCTCAATAATAATGGTAAACAGGACAAATAGAGAGGGGGAATCTCCCTAAAAGGGGCACAGAATGCAATAAAAACTGTCAGGGGTATTAATCCCTCTCCATGCTTCCAAAACTAAAATAAAAAAAAGTTTTGTCTTTATTTATACTTTAACCACTTGCCGACCACAGATAGCCGAATGACGGCTTCACTGCAGCTGGTCAGTTCTGGAAGAACGTCAAATGACGTCCTCCCAGAATGCACCCTCCCGCGCGCACCCGGGGGGCGCTCACCCAGCGATCTCCGTGATCGCTGTGTCCTATGGACACAGCTGATCACGTGATGTGGTAAAAGGCCAATCACAGTGGCCTTTTACCATGTGATCAGCCGTGTCCAATGACACAGCAGATCACCGATAAATGCAGTTGCCGGTTACTGGCTGCACTTTCCTCATGCTGTTACAGCGTGAGGAAAGTACAGCTGATGACCGGCAATTGTCAGAGGACGGATCGGCACCGATCATCAGGTCACTGATAATCAGTGCCCAGCAGTGCCCCCAGTCAGTGCCGCCCATCAGTGCCCATTCATTGTTGCATATCAGTGCCACCTCATCAGTGCAGCCTCATCAACACACATCAGTGATGGAGAAAAATTACCTGTTTGCAACATTTTAATAGAAACAAAAACTTATTTTCCTAAAAATGTTTGCTTTTTTTTATAGCGCAAAAAAAAACCCCAGCGGCGAGTAAATACCACCAAAAGAAAGCTCAATTTGTGTGAAAAAAAAAATGATAATTTCATATGGGTGCAGTGTTGCATGACCGCGCAATTGTCAAAGTGCAACAGCTCTGAAAGCTGAATATTGGACTGGGCAGGAAGGTGGTATAAGTGCCCGGCAGGCAAGGGGTTAATTCAGTTTGCTCAAAACTGATCAGAATCGATTGGAAGGAAATCAGGGCCGTCTCAGCTGGAACCCTGTTCTGATCACACAATACAATGGAGGTGTATGAGCCCAGGACAGGTTATGAAAGCAACATCAACACACAACACGTGTCAAATCTGACTCCGCCCCTTACCACCCCGTCCTCCAATGGGATCTCTCCCTGCTCTCTTGTATAACCAGTCCTATGGAGAGCACATTGTATAACCAACATTACATAGGACAACATTGTACGGACTGTCCTATAGAGAGGGACCTCACAGGACCAGTCCTATACAAGGACACTACGTATACCGCCCGCCGGCCCTATACTATGTGTACACAGAGCCCTGCACACAGAGCTCGGACCGTATACACCATGAGGCTCCGTGTACACCGCACACCTCGTTGTCATGGAAACGGAGATCATTCCTCAGCAGGCACACGATGATTCTGGCCGGAACACACATCTCCCGATCTGTCTCCTCTCCGTCTACACAAGGGGTAATGGCCAATCACTGATCAGACACGCCCCATTCAGTGACTTCGAGGACTCCGCCCTCCATGTGCCAACTGCAGTTCACCCTACCAACCAGCAGAGGGCCTGGGAACTCTAAATTGTACATGTGAACTCTGTTCCCAGTCACCCAGTATGAGTGCCTAGAGGACTCCCCTCCAGATACATTATACTGTATTGCCAAATGTATTGGGCCAGCCCTCCAAATCATTGGATTCAGGTGTTCCCATCCCCTCCATGGCCACAGGTGTAAAGAATCAAGCACGTAGGCATGCAGACTGCTTCTACATACATTTGTGAAAGAATGGGTCGCTCTCAGGAGCTCAGTGAATTCAACCGTGATAGGTTGCCACCTATGCAATAAGTCCATCCGTGACATTTCCTTGCTACTAATGCAGGCCATAGACGGGTCGAAAATCGGCCGATTTTTCTTTTAAAAAACGAAAAATCGGTCGTTCAAGCGGCCGACGTTACCAGCAATGGTAAAAAAAACGGCCGATTTTCATCCCGTCTACAGCCAGCAAAAAGTGTCCCTGCAGAGAGCTCCACTATTTCTTTGACAGTTCCTTGACATTTATAGCGGTTTCAACAATGTATCTATTTGTATCCATTTAGGATACAGATGTTTTTATTCGGAAACAAATAGATACAATGTTGCAGCTGCTATAAATGTCAAGGAACTGTCAAAGAAATAGCGGAGATCTCTGCAGGGACATTTTTTACCGAACTGGAATTCCTCTTCTTCTTCATCTTCTACATCCTCTTCTTCTTCATCCTCTTCTTCATCCTCTTCTTCATCTTCTTCACCTTCCTCTTCTTCATCTTCCTCTTCTTCTTCATCCTCTTCTTCTTCATCCTCTTCTTCATCTTCTTCTTCATCTCTCTTCTTCTTCTTCCTCTTCTTCTTCTTCATCATCCTCTTCATCCTCTTCTTCTTTTTCATCCTCTTCTTCTTCTTCCTCTTCATCCTCTTCTTCTTCCTCTTATTCTTCCTCCTCTTCATCCTCTTCTTCATCTTCCTCTTCTTCATCCTCTTCTTCATCCTCTTCTTCTTCTTCCTCTTCTTCTTCCTCTTCTTCATCCTCTCTTCTTCATCCTCTTCTTCTTCATCCTCTTCTTCATCTTCTTCATCTTCCTCTTCATCCTCTTCTTCTTTATCCTCTTCTTCTTCTTCATCCTCTTCTTCTTCATGCTCTTCTTCATCCTCTTCTTCATCTTCTTCCTCTTCTTCTCTTCCCCTTCTCCTTCTTCCTCATCCTCTTCTTCATCCTCTTCTTCTTCTTCTTCATCCTCTTCTTCTTTTTTCTTCTTCTTTTTGTCTTCCTCTTGCAGGTCACTGCTCATGCGCAGATTTTTTTCTCGGTAAAAGATCGGCTGATTTGCCCATCATTGCCGCGAAAATCGGCCGATCGGCAAGATCGGCCATTTTTTTTCCAACTTTGCCGATAAAAAAAAATCTGCCAAAATACCAAAAAATGGCCGAACATTTAGCCCACTAACGATCCGAAAATCGGACGATTTTATTTTCGGCTGAAGTAAAAATCCACTGTCAATGTTAGTGGTTATTATAACAAAGGGGAGGCAACTGGGAACAACAGCAACTCAGCCATGAAGTGGTAGCCCACGTAACATGACAGAACGAGGTCAGCGCATGCTGAAGCACACAGTGTGCAGAGGTGGCCAACTGTCTGCAGAGTCAATAGCTAAAGACCTCCAAACTTTGTGTAGCCTTCAGTGTGGAGAGAGCTTTATGGAATGGGTTTCCATGGCCGAGCAACTGCATCCAAGCCTTACATCACCAAGTGCAATGCAAAGTGTCGGATGCAGTGGTGTAAAGCACGCCACCACTGGACTCTAAAGCAGTGGAGACATGTTCTCTGGAGTGACAAATCATGCTTCTCTGTCTGGCAATCCGATGGAAATGTCTGGGTTTGGTGGCTGCCAGGAGAACGGTACTTGCCTGATAGCATTGTGCCAAGTGTAAAGTTTGGTGGAGGGGGGGATTATGGTGTGGGGTTGTTTTTCAGGAGTTGGGCTTGGTCCCTTAGTTCCAGTGAAGGGAACTCTTAAGGCGTCAGCATACCAAGACATTTTGGACAATTTCATGCTCCCAACTTTGTGGGAATAATTTGGGGATGGCCCCTTCCTGTTCCAAGATGACTGCACACCGGTGCACAAAGCAAGGTCCATAAAGACAGGGATGGGGTTTGGGGTGGAGGAACTTGACTGGCCTGCACAGAGTTCTGACCTAAACCCGAAAGAACACCTTTTGGATGAATTAGAGCGGAGACTGTGAGCCAGGCCTTCTCGTCCAACATCAGTGCCTGACCTCACAAATGCTCTTCTAGAAGAATGATCAAACATTCCCATAGACACACTCCTAAACCTTGTGGACAGCCTTCCCAGAAGAGGTGAAGCTGTTATAGCTGCAAAGAGCGAACCAACTCAATATTGAACCCTATGGACTAAGACTGGGATGCCATTCATGTGCGTGTAAAGGCAGGCGCCCCAATACTTTTGGCAATATGGTGTACATCCCGTGAATGGTTTCCGCAGAAAGATGCTCATAGGCCCCCTTTAGAGGTAGTTGGGGGCAGTAACAGTACTCAGCTGAGCTGTGTTTTCAGTACCACTCCAAATGCCCTTCCTTAATCACTTGTCCTCTAGAAGATTTACCCCCCTTCATGACCAGACCATTTTTTTCTATATGGCGCTGTGCTATTTTGACTGACAATTGGACGGTCATGCAACACTGTACCCAAATTAAATTTTTATCATTTTTTTTCACACAAATAGAGCTTTCTTTTGGTTGCATTAGATCACCCCTGTTTTTTTTTTGTGCTATAAATGAAAAAACAGACCAGAAAGTTTGAAAAAAAATAGTTTTTTTGCTATGAAACATTAAATAAAAAAAAAATATTCATAAATTTAGGTCAAAATGTATTTTGCTACATGTCTTTGGTGAAATAAATACCAATAAGTTTTTAATTGTTGTGCGTGAAAACTATAGCATGTACAGCTGGCGGTATATATACTGGAATTATTCTTATTTTTATACTAGTAATGGCAGCGATCAGCGACTTATGGCAGGACTGTGACATTATGGCGGGCATTCTGACACTGGCTAACTGACATTCACATGACTAGTGACACTAATACAGTGATCAGTGCTAATAAAATGCACTGACACTGTACTAATATCATTGGGCAGGAAGCTGCTAATATCAGGGGCAATCAAAGGGTTAACTGTGTGCCTAACTATATGTGATGTATATACTGTGTACTCTTTTACTAGAGGATGTAACAGTTATTGTCTCCCTGCAAAGCAAAAACGGTACATCCCTGCTGTCAGTAGAGAAGTCTGTGTTGTTTACCAACACAGATCTCTCTCTTGTCACTATCTCTGATGACTGATGGGTCCCTGGCATGAATCGCTGGCCAGGACCCACTGATCATCATGTCAGGGAGCCAATGACAGCGCGGGTAGGTGTGCATGCGCTCCCCTGCCCGAAAAAGCAAAATCACATATATATATATATACGTGATTTTGTGCAGCCAGCCCGCACTGTAGCAGTAAAGCAGTAAAGCTACAGTGCGTGGTCGGCTAGCAGTTAAAGAAGAAATCGTGAAAAGATAAAAAAAATAAAAGTCAGCATCTACAGCAGCTGCTTACCTTTAAAAAACAACTTTTAAACAAATTTTTGGGGAAAAAAATACACTTTAATTAATAAAAAAAAAACACAATATATAATAATTTTTTTTTTTAAATATGAAAGATGATGTTATGTTGAGAAAATAGATACCCAACATGTGACGCTTTAAAATTGCGCTCGCTCGTGGAATGGCGCTAAACTACAATACTTAAAAATTTCCATAGGTGATGTTTTAAAAATATCTACAGGTTACCAGTTTAGCGTTACAGAGAAGATCTAGTGCTAGAATCATGGCTCCCGCTCTGACATTTCTGGCAATACCTCACATGTGTGGTTTGATCACTGTGTACATATGTGGGTGTGACCTATGTATGCGTTCACCACTGCGCGCAAACCCCACATCTCTCCTCTACAATGTAAAGCATTAGATCATAAAAAAGCATTGATCTAATGCTTATAAAAAAATGTCCTTGTTTACATTAGGCCGGAACCGGAAGTGACGTAATGACGTTGCTCTGGGCTCTTAGGCCATAGAGATGAGTGGAGACCATGTTTTCTTCACTCATCTCTATGTCCAGCTGCCGCAATCATCAGATTTGTTCATGATCTCAGCGATCATAAAAGTGATCCAGTGGCGAATCCACTGCTAGGATCACTTTTAGTATAAAGGGAATTACCAGTTGACAAAAACAATACCATGGTTATAGCACATTGCTGCAGGCATAACTTCGGAATTCCACTTCCAACCGAAGATGTATTTTTACTATGGCCCAGTTGAGAAGTGGTGTCAACCAGGAGGTGTCAACACTGATCAGTCACCCTGTTTGTTTCAATGGTAACATGCTGTAACTGCACCACCACTCCTATAGCATTTACAGTGTGGGTGCTGAGGAAGAGGCAGTGAAGGTTTCTGTATTTCAGAATGCACTGGGAACAATAGAGACCTAGGAAAGTTTTCTGCAAAGTGTTGGAGCCAAAATGTCAGCCACCACATCAAGCCACCACACCAAGTGTCAGTGCCGGCAAGTGACCATGATAGTCTTTCCAAGATCATCTTGAGCTGTACCAAGACCAGGGGCGGACTGACCATTTGGAAACGCGGGCACTGCCCGTGGGCCTGGGGTCAGTGGGGAGCCCCATGAGATGCCCCTGGTACCTTTTTCATAGGCTTTTTTGAGTTTGGGCCAGGGAACAGGGGCCCCATGATCCCCTATTGCCCGGGGGCCCCATGAGTTGTCAGTCCGCCCCTGACCAAGACAAGTGTCAATGAGATTAAAATATACAAATCCATTATGACGAG